ATTCCCACTCCTCTGTGAGCTTCTCCATCACCTCGTGCGCACCGACGCAGGCCACCGTGACGCGCCTGTTGCGCAGGAATGTGAGGAGCCGCGCCATCCTTCCGCCGTCCTCATGGAAAGGAAGCACGCTGACGGTATACTCGGACTGGTTGCAGTCGGGCTGGTACACAAGGCATGGGAGCCGCTGATGTAGATCGCGACGTAGCGGATCAGGGTGCCGAGGTCCCGAGGATGGCCGCGCACGCCCTTCTCGCCCCTATGGGCACCAGTTGTTGCGCGGCGCATGGCCACAGAGCACGATGAGGCCGAGGACGAAGGGTGCGGAGTGGCGGTGGCCACGGTATAGCAGTGTGATTTCCCGGAACCACTGCATGTTGTCCACGTCACGCTTGGGGTAGGTGATGTCGACGAGGGCGAGGTCATCATCATCGTAGCCGATGCAGAGGACAACCTCCCTTCTGGTCACTGGCACCAGATCTGTAGTCGCACATCGACACACAATGATTTCACATCACAAGAACACATCTCACATCAACAAATGAACTCTCACATCACAAGAACACATCTCACAGCAGCAAATGAACTCCAAGAACGCATCTCACAAATAACAAAGAATCACAAATAACAAAGAGAGGAGGGGGAGAGATAGATCCGCCGGTCGCCGACGCCGTTGCCTCACCTCCACACCGGCCGCTGACGCATGCCGCCGCTCCACTGGGCCCCCATGCCTCCCCTCCGCCAGATCTGCAAGGGGAGGGAGGGGAGGGGTTGCGCGCCGCCGGATCCGCCGCCCCCCTCCGCCGGATCTGCAAGGGGAAGGAGGGGAGGGGGTGCGCGCCGCCGGATCCGCCGCCCCTCCGCAGGATCCGCAAGGGGAGAGAGGGGAGGGGCCGCCATGGTCGCCCGCTGCCACCTGCTCTCGCAGCCCTTCTTCCCACCCGCAGTTGAGGGAGGGGGAGGGAGGGGCCGCGCGCCGCCGCATGCTGTCGCACCGCCGGCCGGCCGGGAGAGAGGGGAAAAGAGGAGAGTGGGAGGAGAGGAGGAGATGAGTGGAGTGGGAAAGAGGGAGGTGGGAGGAGAGGAGCGGGCGGAGGAGGAGATGTGTGCGGGCGCGGTTAAAAGCGGTGGGCCCGTGCTATTGAAAATTCGTGTGCGGTTGGCTTAAGTCGCCCACGCGGGATAATGTATTTTCCCGTGCGGGCGACAGCCCGGCACCTGTCCCCCTCTTTTTCCATGCGGTTCTACTTACGGACCGCATGGAAACAAAAGTGGGTGGCGTCCAAGAAAATATATCATGTAGCAGTGTCGCAGATTGAAAATAGTTTTGCATATTTACTCATAGTCTCTAGTAGTCATGCATGCTTTCTCGATCTGTCAACTCAAAATTATACGTGGACTCGCGTGGAGACAGGTCATGTGACATGTGGATGATAGCGCGAATACTCTAATTTGGCTTATCTCGTGGAAACTTTTTACTTTTTTTCAATCGATATTTTTTTGTCTCAAACAAATATTTTGTATTTACTGAAACTTTAAGTGATTTTGATGTCAACAATATAAGTAATAAAGAAAAATCATCATTAGTTGTGAAGTACTCTTACGTGTATCTAAAAAAACTTTTTTTCAGCGAAAATCAATATCACAATAAAGAAAGGAACTTTGACCGGTCATAGTTTTTTTTAATGAAAAAACTGAAGCTCGTACCTCATTACCGAGGAGGTTGCCAGCTCCAAGAGGTCTTCTGCTCAAAGAGCTCTAGGCTCTTCTCAATCCCAGTCTCTTTGTCTCTCTCCCTCCTCACTCGTTCGGTCGTTCCCCATTCACATCGCACGTCGTCATCCAGGCATCCAGCGCCTCCACCAGCGTGCGCCCTCACATCCTCCCATACTCAGCCCTTGCGCCTCCTCCCTGTAGTAGCGGCGCCTTCTTCCGCCTACCGGCTGCAGCAGCGGCCAGCGGCGCCTCCTCTCCTTGATGCGGCAAAAGATGGAGAAGCGCGACAGCGAGAAGATGAAGAAGCGCAGTGGCTGACTGGGGGTGACGACAAGGCCTCCTCATGCAACGGTTCCAAGCCATTGATGCTGCTCGTGCGGATCCACCACCGACGCCTGGATCCCGTCGTCTCTTCGTCTCCCTCTCGCGCGGATCAGCCATCGGCGGCGACAGGAGGGGCGGATCCGGCGACCTCTTCCCCTCCCGCACGGATCCCGTCATCTCTCCGCCCTCCTCTCGTGCGGATCCGCCATCGGCGGCGATGGGAGGGGTGGATCCAGCGACCTCTTCCCTTCCCGCATGGATCCGTCGTCTCTTCGCCCCCACGCTCACACGGGTCCATGGATTTGGAGGTGCGTGGTGAGGGGGTGGACCGTGCGCACTGGGCTGCGTCTCCTCCTCCCCATTGCCTCGCCAAGCCGGCCAATACTTGATTTTTTTTTGCAATTTTTTCCTTTTTTTTTTGGCCCCGGTGATTTAATTTTTGGGATGGTTTTGCTTTATTGTTGTTGGATTTCTGATTCAGTTTCTTTCGTTTCCGTGCATTAGTTCTGGGCTTCTACGAACGTACGAGACAGGAGCGATGCGGTCTCTCGATCTCGCATGTACGATGCGGTCTCTCGATCTCGCATGTACTGACGAACCAAAATTTTGGGAGGAGATCGTACACGGACAAGTGGAAAAAATTGCACATACGGACGAAAAATACTAATACTAATTTTGGTGACGATTGGAAAAATACTAATCTTTTAATTAGTTAAGATAAGTAAATTGATGATGAAATTTTTATAGTAAATATTAGTTATATTAAATTTTGTTCAGCCTCAAAGATCTTATTGGCTCCGCTACTAGGTGTGCTTGGTGTGAGATCCGCTTGTGGCTGTGTGAGTATGGTCCATATGCGTCTGTCTTTTATGTAACAGTTACGGAAATATGCTAGAGTTAAAAAGAAATTATTTTCTCTCTCTGAACTCCTCACTAACTTGGATTTTAGGTTGTAGTCCCTCCAAACACCCTCTTCGACTCGGGTTAAGTTGCACTAGCTGCAAACACCAAATAAAGAGCAATGCATCCAATGAATGAAGACCATGGGTGGCGCGTTTTCCGAGCTTTTAAATAGTGTGAATTTTTTAAATGTCCTATAAGTTTCTAAGCATTTTCCGCAATAAATTTTAAATTTACAAGGAAAAAGTACGAATTACCCTCGAACTATCGCAGTCGACCGAATTACCCCCCTAAACTAGAAAACCAGACATTGCTCACTCTGAACTTTTAATGCCGGACATATTACCCCCTCGATCCAATCCAGAGCGGTTTTGTCCTATGTGGCATACCCGTGGCAATGTAGTCAGGATTTTCTTTTTTAAAAATAGTGGGACCCACATGTCATACCCCATTTCCTCTCTCTCTCGGGCACAAAATAGGCATGGCGGCGCAGGGACGGGAGGTGGCCGGCGGCGTGAGGGGACGGGCGGGGGCAGACAGGTGGAGGCAGTGCCGATTGCAGTGGCGACGAGAAGGAGGAGGGGCCCGCGGTGGCGGTGGCGGTGGCGGTGGCGGCCCGCGGCGACACAGGGGCTGAGCACAACAAGGGAATGTCACACGGCAACATGGTGGCTCGAGGAGGAGGAGGAGGAGGAGGTGATGGCCTCTACACGCGGTGGCACGAGGCCCTTGGAGGCTCAGACCACACGACAACAGCGCCACGTGGCAGAAGCTCGAAGACGACGACGCTCTCGGGCGAGTGATGGCGCTAGCCGGCTCGTGCCGCCGCCCGCCCGCGCGCAACCAAGCCGCCGTCGGCTTGTTACCCACCGCCGCCCTCCGTCCTTCCGCCCCCGCGCGCCACCGCCCACCTCCCATCCCCACGCCGCGCTGTGCGTGCTGTCGGGGTGGAGGCCGCGGCGGCGATGGTGGAGGGGGACAACGAGGGGGTGGAGAGCGACTAGTCGATGATGGACTTGACGGTGGCGGAGGAGAAAGACGCCTCCCGCTCCCCCAGGCGCTCCAGATGATGAAGGCCTCTAGATCCACGCGCCGACGTCGCTCCCGAGGATCAGGGGCGGCGGATCCTCGCGCCACCGTCGCTCCTGCTGCACCTGCGCCCACTTGAGCACCGCCCCATGCACCGCCGCGGCAACCTCATCCATGGCAGCGGCGTCAAGAAGCGCGGCAGCAACATGCAACAACGTGGTCTGGCGATGGTGGCGGCGTCCATCCTCATCCATGGCCCTCCTCGTCTTACGTTGCCGTCGTCCGCCGCCCGCCCCTCTGCGCAGAGAGAGGTGAAGGGGAGAAATGACAGGTGGGTCCCACCAATTTTTTAAAAGAAAATGTTGACTGGATTGACACGCGTACGCTATGTAGGAAAAAATCGCTCTGGATTGGGTCTAAGGGGGGATAATTCGTCCGATATTAAAAGTTCAGGGTGAACAATGTCTGGTTTCAGATTCAGGGGGGTAATTCGATCGACCGCGATAGTTCAGGGGGTAATTTGTACTTTTTCCAATTTACAATAATTAATTTATTGTTAACTCTCGAGTATTATCACAAAATTAGATAATATATATCCGACATCCATTTATCCGAACTGGTCCTTAGGACAGGAGCAATAGCATCCTCTATTTCTCTTCAGTGAATTTTGGAGATATCCATACACATTACTCGCAAAGTCACAAGGTGAGCTCCATTATTGGACGCATTCCGTCAGCATCAACTGCCTCATCCACGGTACTCTCTCCAGCGCATGAAAAGCAAACATTGTACACGATGTAACATATGAATTTTAACAAAGTTATATCTAAATTCATATAAAATAAGTTACATCTTATATTGATTTATTTTTCATTCGGAATGCGGAAGTATGGGGTAGCATGTTGGGATCAAGATCCTCTACCGTCGAAGTCACGTGACTTTTATCACTGACACGTGGATCCGACGATGTCTGGACTCACATGTTAATGATAAAAACACCGTGTATTTAAAGGTACAGGAGCTCAATCTAGCATGTTGTGTACTAATCATGTTCACTTGACTCGATCGATCGCTCCGATCGACTACACCCCGCCGCGCCGCGCGCACGCATAAAACCCCCACCACCTGAACCTCCACCTCCACTCCACCTCCACTTCCACACTCGAGTAGCGAGCGAGAGGTCGTCGTCGTCGTCGTCTCGTCGCCGCCATGGAGATGGTGCTGGACTGGCGCTCGGTGGGCTCGCTCCTCGCCACCATCATGGTGTTCCGGACCGCCATGCGCGACTTCCTCCCGCCCGAGGCCGAGATCTTCCTCCGCCGCCTCCTCACCCGCCTCGCCGCCGCCTTCCGTCCCCACGTCGGCACCATCCTCATCGACGAGGCCGACGGCGCCAGCGGCGGCGCCAACGACCTCTACGACGCCTCCCAGCTCTACCTCGGCGCCCGCTGCCTCGCCACCGCCCCCACCGTCCGCCTCCACAAGCCCCACCAAGCTCCCCGCCCCGTCGCCTCCCTCCCCGACGCCCACACCACCCACGACGTCTTCCGCGGCGTCCTCGTCAAGTGGACCGCTCGCCCCGTCGAGCGCGGCGCCTCCGCCGGCGGCGGCGGCGGCGGAGTGTTCAACCCTTACAACCCTTATGGCCGAGGTGGCGGCGGCGGCGAGCCGCGCAGACTCGAGCTGCAGTTCCCGCGCCAGCATCGGGAGCTCATCCACGGCCACTACATCCAGCACGTCATCGACGAGGCCACCAAGATGCGGCTCAGGTCGAGGGAGCGGCGGCTCTACACCAACCGCGCCGCCGCCCCCGGCGACGACCACCACCGCCTCTGGACGTCGCACGCCTTCTCCCACCCTTCCACGTTCGACACGCTCGCCGTCGACCCGGCGCTGCGCGACGACATCCGCGCCGACCTGCTGCGCTTCGCGGCGCGGCGCGAGCACTACGCGCGCGTCGGCCGCGCGTGGAAGCGCGGGTACCTGCTCCACGGCCCGCCCGGCACCGGCAAGACCAGCCTCGTCGCCGCCATCGCCAACCTCCTCGAGTTCGACGTCTACGACCTGGAGCTCACCACCGTGCCCACCAACTCCCACCTCCGCCGCCTGCTCGTCTCCACCACGCCCAAGTCGGTCGTCGTCGTCGAGGACATCGACTGCTCCCTCGACCTCTCCGACCGCAAGAACAAGGCGAGCGACGACGAGAACGCGGCGCAGCTCTCGATCATCTCCCCGGCCGCTGCGGCGGCCATGGCGGCGATGGGGCGGGAATCCATCAGCCTCTCCGGCGTGCTCAACTTCGTCGACGGCCTCTGGTCATCCTGCGTCGGCGAGCGCCTCATGGTGTTCACCACCAACCACCCGGAGCGGCTCGACCCGGCGCTGCTCCGCCCCGGCCGCATGGACCGCAAGATCGAGCTCGGCTACTGCTCGCCGCCCGCGCTCCGCGTGCTCGCCAAGAACTACCTCGGCGTCGGCGTCGGCGACGAAGGATGCGAGGACGCCGCCGACGATCCGGACACGGTGAGCGGCCTCATGGCCGACGCCGAGGGCCTCCTCGCAGCCGGGGTGCTCATCACGCCCGCCGACATCGCCGAGGTGTTCATGGGCTGCGACGGCGCGGGCGCCACCGCCGCGCTGAGGAAGCTCGCCGACGAGCTGCGGCGGAGGAGGGACGCGCCGGCGGTGCCTGTCACAGAGGAGGCGGCCATGACGACAGAGTAAAAAGCAGACGAGCCGCCATTGCGGATTGCTTGAACTTGAACAGCATCATGATCAATATATAATTAATAATTTTCATGGTGATTTGGTTTCGAGTTAGGTATTAATTAGGTCGGTTGTGATCGTGTCATGGTTGCGCCATGGATGGAGGATTTGAGGATTTGCTGCATTTTGCAATGGTGTGTGGCTTTCTGAATTTTTCAGCAATTTTCTTTGCGTTTTATGAGAAGTTGCACCATGTCGTCTCCTCTGCTTTTGTTTTGATCTCCGGATATACGTCGACGTGGACGTTTGATGGCAACGAACATTGGCCGTCCGTACTGGCTGGCTGCTGTTGATAACGCAAATTCACAGTAGTCATTAGCACAAGGTTAAATTTCTGCAATTACTTGCGCGCATCTCAATTTGATTTTATATGTGGCTATTCATTTATATTTGATTGTTTTTCATATTAAAAGTTCAAAAGGTATTTTTGTAAAACTACAATAGAATTAGGTAGAGTTTTTAATTCTACTCTGCGTGCCGTCCGCCGCTTCCCTCTTCGCACGCGACACGTGTCCAATCATCCGGGGAAGACGCGCACAACTGGTTGCGGATTAGCATTCTCGACATAAAAGAAGTAACAGCAATGGGCAAAATAAGAGTAGGTTAACAAGTCATGTATGGAGCTTTTGACTAACGGTAGGGTTAAACTAAGCTAGAGGAGCCGAAAAATCAGAGCACAGGCTTACCTTATCCAATATTTCGAGATGAGTCAGGCCACTAATACACTTTACGACTTCCATAGGTCATAGGTGACTCGAATTCTTGAAACTGGCTCGGCATTTGGTGATATGATCTATCTTTCTACGTGTACATAACTTTAACCTTACTTCTTGTTTACAAGGACAAAGCTGTCGTTTTCGGAACAATGCGAAAACAATTGACAAGAACAACACTGGCTCAGATATAACCATGTTTATGTTACACTTCAACAAGCTAAAGATGCATAGATTCTATATAGGTTTACTTATTATACGTTTGAACAAATATTACTGCACCATAAGTTTTATATCTTCTCGTTTGAAGAAATATTAGCATGGGTGAAGGAAATGAGAGCGGGCTCACGAAGTGCTTGGATGATCAAATAAATTGGTCGGGGACCAAACTAAGATTTTCCTAAAGACTGCTCATACATCACCATATCACTTTTAGTCTATAGAAGAGAGGAAATTATGCACATTTTGGATTCGGATTCAAGTCTCCTAATAGCATTAATTTCAAACGGACCTAGCCAATGATCTAGAAGGAATCTCGGAGCCCATGATTATTTATTGGAAAGCTTATGGAATCTACTTTCATATAGTTCTGATCACACATCAAAATTCCTTCTAATCTATTGGTAATCTACAAAACAAGCCATGTACCTCATCCAGTCCAAGTCCGATTTGAACTTTGGGCTTTGTAATTGTGTCGTGACTCGTGGGCTAAGCCCAAGGGGGTGTGCGCCCTAGCTATAACAACCCTAGGTCGACCCTAGAATCTATTTAATCAGTTACCGTCATCAAATTAGGGTTGGATTTTGCAGTTTTGCTGCTAGTTTGGTCTGTGGAACACCAACTTATGAGCTCCATCTTAAATTCGCAATATATTCAAATTGCATCTTCTACTCTCTTACTTGTGTTCTCGATTCGCTTACGGAATATAGTCTTTTTGGCGAGATCAACCATGTTTCGGCTCGGGTGATAACTAACAGAGGGGTGGTGTAGTGATTGCACGGGGTTCGGTCATTCTGATCGGAGCTTTTGAATCATCAACATCAAGTCTCCACAATTAACCTATCTAGTACCTAACGGAAGATTCAGAACCTTAGTCCTCATCAACAATACTCCCCACGGTAAAGAAAATATGATATTTAACCTATTTTAAGGTCAGTGAGATGCCGTCCTGACCATAATACACACACTCTCTTTCTCGGGTATAAATAAATAATTAACATTTAGAACAAGACTTGTGGTCTAGTTATCCTTATACTTATTCATATTACTTATTAGTAAAAACATTATTTATGGGTAAAACGTTATTCTTAGCGGTAAAAGACGAGTGCCATAAAATAAACCATGATAAAAAGAACACAAAAATAACTTAAAATCAAGTTTAAAAAATTTAAATTTTGGTTTATAAGCATAAGCAAAACAATGGGATCATTTGTCAAACTTTTATAGCATTGATCATCAACTTTGCATTGTAAAAAAGAAATTATAAAATTGAATGACTTCACGATATTACGATAGTACTGAAAAGTGAAAACCTACCTACATATATGCCATTTGTTTAACAACTAAGAACTTAATAAACTATTGATGGTCAAAATTTCAAAAAATTGATAATATTTTGTGTTAAAGTAAAATATTTATGACCTGAGAGATATTTTTTTTAAAAAAAGTTAAACATGTATTGGTGGATCCTACATGAATTGCATATTATTACTCAGGGTGCATATACGAAGAACCACCACATGCATCTTTTCTGCTTTAGCCAATGGCAAAGAACTTGTAGCAATCTTTGATGTCATGTCATCATCAACTGGTAGAAAATTTGGAAAAAGATTAATCCACCCATCCGACCAGTAAAAGACTTGACCGAAGCGTGCCAAACTCAACTTTTGGATTTCTTGCTAAATAGTACCTTCATATTTTAATGTATGACGCCGTTGACTTTTAAGTAGTATTCAATAATACGAAAACAATAGGAAAATGCATACTGAAACAGAACGAGTTGGGCTTAAAGCTTATGAAGCCCATAAAGTCATTTAGGCCCATTCATTTTTCCTTTCCTAGCGTTGAGCTCGTCCACGAGCTTCTGCAGCGCGACGTGGGCTCCGTCGTCGCCGTCGCATCCCATGAACACCTCGGCGACGTCCGCCGGCGTCACCTGCACCTCATCGAGCAGCCTCCCCGCCTCACCCATGATCTCGTCGTGGTCGTCGGCGTCGTCGTCGTCGCCGAGGTAGTTCTTGGCCAGCACACGCAGCGCCGGGGCCTTGCAGTAGCCGAGCTCGACCTTGCGGTCCATGCGGCCGGGCCGGAGCAGCGCCGGGTCGAGCCTGTCCGTGTGGTTGGTGGTGAACACCACCAGCCTCTCGCCGACGCACGACGACCAGAGGCCGTCGACGAAGTTGAGCACGCCGGAGAGGCTGATCGTCTCCCGCCGCATGGCCGCCTCGACCGCCGGCGGCAGAAGGGTTAGCGCGTGTTGCAGCATCGCACGGTTGCGCTGCTCGTCGGCGTCGGCGTCGGCGTCGTCTTGGGACGACGGCGGCGCCGGCGCGCGCGTCCGGTCGAACAGTCCGAGGGAGCAGTCGACGTCCTCGACGACGATGACCGACTTGGGCCGCGTCGAGGCCAGCAGCCTCCGGAGGTCGTAGTTGGAGGTCACTGTGGTGAGCTCCAGGTCGTAGATGTCGAACTCGAGGAGGTTGGCGATGGCGGCGACGAGGCTGGTCTTGCCGGTGCCGGGCGGGCCATGGAGCAGGTACCCGCGCTTCCACGCGCGGCCGGCGCGCGCGTAGTGCTCGCGGCTGCGCACGAACCGGAGCAGGTCCGCTCGGATGTCGTCGCGCAGCGCCGGGTCGATGGCGAGCGAGTCGAACGTGGACGGGTGCGAGAACTTGTGCGCCTTCCAGAGCATCTGGTGATCGTCCATGGCGCCGCCGTCGCCGTAGTAACAGCCGCCACCACCGCCGTTGTTGGTGTAGAGCTTCCTCTCCCGCAACTTTGCCCGCAGCGCCGCCGCCTCCTCGAGAACGAAGGGGATGTACGCGTCGCGCACGACGTCGCGGTCGCGTCGCCGGAACTCGAGCCGCAGGCACCGTTGCCAGCCGTCGATCGGGGGCGGCGCCCACCGGCGGGAGGAGGAGGAGGAGAAGCTTCCCCCGAACGACGAGCTCGCGTTCCCGTCGAGCTGCGACGTCCACAGCACGCGGACGCCGCGGAAGGCGTCGCGCGTGGCGTGGGAGCCCGGCAGCGACGCCACGGCGGCCGCCGCGCCGTGCGCCTTGTGGAGGTGCATCGCGGGCGCCGTGGCGAGGCAGCGCGCGCCGAGGTAGAGCTGCGCCGCCTCGTACAGCTCGTTGGGCACGCCGTTGGCGTCGGTCTCGTGGACGATGATGGCGTCGCACGGCGTCACGAGGGCGGCGGCGGCGCGCGACAGCAGCGCGCGGAGCAGGCCGTGCGCCTCCGGCGGGAGGAAGTCGCGCGCCGCCGTGCGCACCAGAACGGCGGTGGCGAACAGCGAGCCGAGCGAGGCCCAGGTCAGCTTCAGAGGCGCCCCCATGTGTGTTTGCAAGCTAGATAGATGGCTTCGTGTTCGAATGGAACTCGAATTGCCATGGCCATGTCGAGGCTATGTATATATAAGGAGCTCGGGACACTTGCTACGGAACCGACCTAGCCCCGTTCTTACTTGATTAAGATACAGAATTTACCTTGAATTTCATTAGCATGTTTATCAGGGAAAGTGATTTCATCCCTTGAGGGGATATCCTCTTGTTTCGTGCATATATAAACTTTTTTTTTAAAAAAAATAGTAAGATAGATTAGTACGAAATATATCAATCCACAAAAATACAAGTTAAAATTCAATTTCTACAAGTTATAACAAATATAGCTATGAATGTACGATAACTATTTTCAGTTTAGTTTGTTCTTTTTGTTGCAACTTGTAGAAGTTGAATTTGGTCTTACATATTGTTCGAGTGAAATATTTTATATTAATCTATGTTGTCAAGGAGGGACATCCCCTCGAGGGATGAAAATCCATATCTTATTTATCAAACATTATATTAGTTATTACGTGGAGTTATGGAGGGTATTATGATTTGTTTAGGTTTGTATTGATTTGGCTGAAATATGAAAAGAAAAAGGGTCTTTTTAAGACAGAGGTGATAATGAAAAGATCGGGTTGATTACTCCATACGATGCTTAGTATACCTCCATAATGATTAATGAGTTTGGTTGAGTGGGATAGGTTTAGATGGGTGATGGCCGTCGGTTTTATTTTCAAGTATTTGGATGGCCATATGCATCTAACCTCGTCTTTGAACCATAGCATTAGCAGGTAGTACACTTTTCACGCTACCATTTGTAGTTATTTTTGTTGATTTCTTCATATGCCAAATCACTGAATATCGTATGATCTTTTCTTATGGTTAGTAAAAAAAAGAACAATTTTGCTATATCTCACTCGAAAGATTTTTTTTCTTATCTCTCACTCGATTTTCTCACTCAAATTTACAGTGCATTTTCTTATAAGTTACAGTGTAATTTATAAAACTTACACTGTAACTTTTGTAAGTTGCACTGTAATTTTTGAATCTACGCATGTAAATTTTAAATTTTGTATTGGATTTGGTCTTTTTCTTGAGGATATGGTAATTTAGTGTCCATTATGGTGTTTCTTAATTGCTTTTTGCTTTTTATTATATCTATCGGATTTTAATCCAAAGATTAAAAATCTGTGTGATACGACCATAGAAATCTTTCGAAAGATGTATAGGTACTCCCAAAAAAGAATTCCAAATACAGATGCTGGGGTTAGGCCAAGCATCATGGGCTTAGCCCACAGTAGCCAAACCGACATAGAGGTACGAATAGAGATGATTAGTTGACTTGACTCTTGACTCTTGAGAGTTAATCATTGCAGATCGACGCTGTTTCCCTCGATCATCTTTTAGTAATTAAGTAGTACGGCAATAACGTTAATTCGTAGCCTTGGCGACCAAGGAAGCTTTGACTAAAGAGCACTTAACAATTAAGCTAGAGAAATAAACTACTCCACCGTGCATGATACCCACGCGAACAGATCAGCAGCATATAGGACCATAGGAGTATACTCAAGTGGAGGACCATAGGAGTATACTCAAGTGGGAAACTCAGGACTTTCAGCATAGAATGGACAAGAGCATAATTCGTCCCCTTCCATTCCCAACAAAACACACCCTAGAGCATAATCGAAGGTCATCATAAGAGATTCCCAACAATGTAAATCATTCAAGCATTTCTCACATTCATATTGATGTTCATTCAAGCATCTCTCTAATATGAATGTGGGAAATGCTAGAATGAATTACATTGTGAAACGGAGGAAGTACATAGTTTAGTTGTGCTCATCTTTCAGTACAGTATAATAATTTGATAATGACTTGCATACTGTTTTAGGACAACAATTTTACACTATAACATAAATTCTTGTGCTTTACATTGTTATTGAAAAGATTGACCTTTTCTATTCGTGCTTGACTTTACAGACTTATTTTGTTGTGCTGACCAGTAATTCCCTGATAACAAGTCCATTAACCAACTTGAATGAAGGATACAAGAATGGCTATATAGGACAAGATATAGTTTAAAATTATATTTTATGATCAATTTGAACCACGAATTACAGTTCGTTAATTAACTTGCATGAAGGATACAAGAGCGATCATACACAGCACAAGATGGTTTAAAAAGATATTTTATGATCAGTTTGAACAATCAACTAATAGTTCATTAACCAATGTGCTTGGAAAGTTGGAAGAAACAACAATGATCATACAGGACAAGATTTTAGAAAAGGATGCCATTAAAATGAAAATATCATAAATCCATTTAAACTTTTTTTTGTTCATTTCAAATGAGCATAATGTCAAGAGATAAAACAGGGGCAATTTATACAGAACTAAATTATCAGAAGAACGACATATCAAATTAGAAAGGAAATGGCAGACAGAGAAATACCTAAACACAACACAACAAAGGGAAGCCTGAAGTAGCAATAGTTAACACACCTATTTTGGATGAGCCAAGCCTTGGGTTTCTCATAAAAGTAATCAGTAATAAGAATATGGGTTTCTGAGGTCTGAATATTAGCAAATGCTATTATTTCATAGTTACCATGAAACTATCACAGATGTTAGGCAGTGACTATGATATCATGTCATTCGGATATGGACCTATAAAGTACTGATTTACTGATTCAGTGACATATGCCTATAACATAACTGCAACTTAATATAAACCTTCAAAGAACAAATGCACATTGATATCAACTTTCACCCCAAGAATTCCAAGCCCGAGTGTTGTACTATTGTTCAGCAAAGAATCAGCCACTGAAGAAATTTCAAAACAGATAGGAAATGGCGTTTTTATTAATCCACATATCATGGCAGCAAACCAAATTGTTCATTTTAAAAAAGCCGCAAAAAACAATGGTTTTAGTATCAAAACTTTCTTGATAAAAGAAACCCAAACCATAATCTCAATATGCTACCAATTTGGTTCTAACTTAAGTAAAGAGAACAGATAAACTTGAGCAAAGATAGCAAACTAAAAACTACTCCACATGTACTCACACAAAAACAGGAACGGAGGCAGCAAAAACATCTCCTAAAAAAATATGGCATGTTAATGAACTAAACTAGTAATAACAAGGATGGAAGGGTGGGGCAAATGACGATATTGTGTAAACAAAAAGTCAAAAAGAAGATCTGAGCTACCACGTTAAAGATGGATATGAAAATAATGAACAGCAGCAGCATAACTGCAGAGCGCCATAACATGTTCCCTCTTTGGTGTACAAACTATGCATTGATATACAAGAACAGATTATAGCTAGAGCAATTAAAGACAGTTAGCAGCAAACTAAATCCTCTTACAGATGGGCCACCCATATGCAGTAATATTTTTCCCTATACTTGCCTTCTTACTCATCTGCAAATTTATGAAGAAACCAGGTTATTTCTACTTGTTACTAAGCTCAGTCACAGTAAAAAGATTAAATGAGTACGGAATTTTGTTTAAGATAAAAGACTACCTATGGACCAAGTACAAGTATCTCAGAATTTTAAAGCTGCCTCACCTCCATTATCAAAGTCATTAACCTACGCCTTGGGTAGCCGGAACACATCGTTGTATATTTGTTATTAGCAAATGCAGATTGAATAGGCAGAGGCACCAGTACAAGCCTCTTCTACCACCACAACATAGAGCAACGCTTTTCTCCTTCCATACATAACGGAATCAATGGAACACAACACTATGCATAGGATGCAAAACACAAACACAACCAAAACAGGAACACATAAATTATCTAGCCAGCAAAATTTGTTACATTCTGGAATCAGAGCTTCAGCAAATAGGAAAAAAAAATCTGATGGTTCCCAGTTGAAATTCCAACAGACAATGGTTGTCACGACTCATGACAAATAGGGCATCGGACGACTCAGAACTAATCTACATGGATCACAGCGATCAAAATCGCGACAGGCATGAACCGGTTATGGCAAGAGAACCTACAAATTAAGCCTGGAATTGCAAATGCTGCACTGGGTAATGTACACAGGATACAAATCTCAAAAACTTGCGTGGGATGAGAATTGCCGTTACCTTCTAGCAGGTTCCTCCGATCCGAGACCTACCCGGCGATTTCCCAGCGCACCAAGCTCCATTACGATGGCTCAACGTGGGAGCTGTGGAGTGAGACCCCGCGTTCACCCACACCAACGCATCTCCATCTCCGACGCCCAAACGCGACACGACACAACCACCGCCTCGAGACGGAACCTAAGGTTTCTCCGGTGTGCTACGCGGGGTCGCCGCTCTCGTTTGCGGCCGCTTCCGCGGGGGGAAATCCGGCTGGAGAGAAACGAAACCCTAACCTAACGAATCCTGCCCTATCTCCCCCTCCTCCTCCACCGCACAAACACCAAGGCGAACTGGCGCCGCCACCGCCGGGACGGGAATGCAAGGCTTACCGCGGATTGCTCGTCGGCTTCTCTCGCGAAGGCATCACGGCGGCGGCGGAGCGGAGGCGAAACCCTAGCGCCGACGACGCCCCATGCGATTCGGAGATGGGGATCGGCGCGGCGGCGGCGGCGGTTCGAGAATGGGGCCCACATTCGCCACTGACTTGTGGGCCCCGGGTCCTCTCTTTTCCTACCGCCTTGTTGACCCGTCCCCGACCCCTTTCTTGCGTCACTGCCATGTGGGCCCCACTCCTCCCCCCTCTTTCCGCCACATACACAAGAACCCAACCATGTAAAAACCCTTGCCAATTTTCGCAGCCAACTCCGGCTTTCCCCTCGCGACCTCTCACGCCGCCGCCGCCGCCGAGGTATGTTTCCGATGCCCACCACCCCGTCTTTTCTTTGCCCTTCCCACGACGGCTGCAAGTCGGACCAGGAGCAGCGGTCTGCCTCCTGGAGCCGCCGCGGCCTTGTCGTTGTTCTGCTCGCCTACTGGGGGGAGGGTTCTTGTGCTATTAGCAGTATTAGCAGGTTTGTTGTTTGGAGCACTGTGAAATTGAAGTTGTTGTTCTTCTCCTTCTTGAGCAGGAAAATGGTTGAGCACCTATTCGAGGATATCTTCACTGTGACCAGGCTCGATCCTGATGGGAAGAAGTTCGACAGAGGTATAATTTTACCTGGCTGTACAATGAATTGAGCTCTGCGTCTACTATATGGTTTGCTATGATGCCTGACAATATGTCTCCCGGAGTATTTGTTACTTGTTAGAGCTTTGCTGGTTTCGAACTTAGGCCATTTTCTAGTTCCTTTACATTGTTTAGATCTTTGAGTTGTATGCCGTTTTTTGTGCTTAATGTTGGTGCAGATCTTTGTTGAAGTAATGTTATCCTTTTCCATGTCTATGTACAGTTAGTCGCATCGAAGCTCGTAGCGAGCAGTTCGACATGTACATGCAGTTAGATGTTGCTACTGAGGTCTATCCGATGCGTGCTGGTGACAGATTCACCATGGTTTTAGCTCCTACTCTGAATCTGGATGGAACTCCGGACACTGGCTTCTACACGCAGGTGATGGGCCTTATTCACCTTACAAGTTGATTTTGAAAAATAATGTGCCGATTGAATTATGGAAATGCCACTAGAATGTGTTTTAGTTCACTTGAATCATGTTCTTGTTTCCTTTGGGTTTATATTCACTTAGGCGCATATATTTAATTGCCAGAACTCTGTGCATGATGCTAACATTAAATAATGTGCTAATTGAATTATGGAAATGCCACTCAGAATGTGTGTTAGTTGCCTAGAATCATGTTGTTGTTTCGCTTGGGCTTATATTCATTTAGGCACATATTTGATAGCCAGAACTCTGTGCATGGTGCTAACATTATATATCATTTCTATCTTTCAGGCTGGCAGAAAAACACTTGCTGACAAGTTTGACTATGTCATGCATGGAAAGCTCTACAAGATCTCAGAAGACAGTTCCAGTGGTCAAGCCACCAAAGTGTATGGCTTCTATGAATTTCAAATTTAATCAATTTGCATTGTCTAGCAGGAGCATGGTTTATCATAATCTAGTAAGGCTTAAGTGGGGTTTCTTTGCTCATTTTTCAACATATCCCAGATGAACTTATCCTATAGGGTTAATTAACCATGCTGATGAAGTGCGTAGTTTTGATTATTAAATGCTTTCTTTAAGCTTCAGGATCCTTTAAGAGAACTTTCAGTATTTGGTTTTAGGAATAAATGGCTGTTTTTTGTTTAGTTTGAGTGCATCAAGATGGTCTTATTGATCAATCTAATTTTTCTATTGTCCAGGGTAAAAACATATCAGTGCACTCAGTTTTTTAGCTTTTCCAAAGAAAAGATGCAAAATTAGTTGAAGTGACTAGCTTATAATGATTTTGCATGGGGTTTTTCTTTGTGCACTAAAGGCTATTCTTACTTTGATATCATGTAATGTCAACAAGATTAATAATCACTAGCTAAAGAACTCAGGTGTTCAGTTTGTTCGAACAGTTCATATGCATCCCATTGCTGTCTGTACTGTTTCAGCTACTTGGTTAATTCAATTCAAGTGCATTTACTTAATTAATTGTATCATTGTTATGTGAATCATGTTATACGAAGATAAGTACCTTCAAAGAACAATTTTTCGCCTTGCCAATATGTAAATCTGGCCTACAGCTACACAGCTTGTACTAGACTACTGTTAGTCCTGTATCAAGTTTATTTTTAACGTAATCCTGTATCATGTGATGATGTCAACTCCCTTTGTGCTATGAATTTTAATGAATTGCATTCTTTTCCATTCTAGGGAGATCTATGCATCGTTTGGTGGCCTTCTGATGATGCTCAAGGGTGACCCCTCCAGTGCCGCTAGCTTTGAGCTGGACCAGAGGCTGTTCCTCCTCATTCGAAAGGTGTAGATGCACTATCTACCTAATAACCTGTGATGATGGTTAACTTTCAGGCTATAGCCAGCCTCTGATCTCCATTTGATGGTTTCTTGTCATGCTAATTGCGCACCACCCCTATCCACTCCCTTGGGTGGCAATGCAACTTTGTATCAAACATCGACAAATACTTGTTGAAACATAACTCATTTAAGCATGTTATGTGAAATTGTCCCGTTGTTTCGCATTTGGTACACTGCATTGTGCAGGTTGTCCTTGTGGGTATTTATCAGGGGGTATGACATTGCGTGCCTGAAACTTCAATACTCGTATCCTCAGCTCTTATGAGTACAATGGACCACCCAATCTGCAGCAGCAGATCAATGAACACCGGATGTATAGCTGTGGCTGCCTGGCTGGCTGGTACTCCACTACTCCCTACATACTTTTGGATGGTTACAAAGTTCACATGCCATTTCCTTCCAGGTCCTCCTGAGGACAGGAACCAGTTGCAGCCCAGGAGCAGAAGCCTTTACTACTACCATATATAGAGAGCAGGATATGAATTGGGGACAGCTTATGATTTAATAACCTACTAGCTCCTGCAAGGCACAGAAAGGCTCAAGAACCATTGCCAAGAAACACAAAGAGAGATTGAAGATGGCTGGACCACTGTCTCTTGAACAAAATTTTTTTGAGAGCTGGAAAGGGCTCTGTACCAAGAACAATCCATGGAGAGCAGCTCCTACTCATTACACCTAGGAACAGTACTCACTCACCATATATACTGCCACAGCTTTTCTTTTCCTGGGATCATATCTTCAGAGATTTCATGCTTCAAATTTTGGTGGCCATCTTTATTATGTGCTGCTAGGATTGTGTACATCTGCTATCAGTACTGATTTTGAGCCTACATTTAATCCTGTCATCAATTCAAGAATCAAATGGCTGTGCTAATAAACAACAAGGACAGAAACAAAGAGAGTACAAGAGCATTTATGCATGCTGGTTCGAAGAGACTGTTGATGAGTAGGAACAGTGTATTCTGAGCAACTAGTAATTAAAAGAATCATACACATATTGTGCTCAGTATGGCTATTAACTAAAGCCCATTCTGTCATGGGGATACAGGCCCTACACAGCCACAAGAAATTCATGAGTTCATGAGGAAGTACTATTTTTCTCTAACTTTCTACGCAGAAGAATACAATCAAAATCTTTTACTTCAGAGTTCAGGAGATCACATCTTGTGAAGCTTTTGGGGTGGAAAGAAGCGATCCTCAGACATGATGAACTGCAGAATCTTCCACTTGTGGAATCGAAACAAACACCCCATGGAGGAATAGCTGATGAGGGCAATTCTTGTTTCTGATAGAAATCAAAACCAACACAGCTAGACAGAATATACACCCAAGTGCTGGCAGACAAAAGCTCAGAGAAGAAAGGAGCAAATAGAATTCATCAGCAAAAAAGATATTAAAAAAAATGCTAATACTCTACTTTACTAACTTAGCTTATCTAGTCCATGATGAACAGAGGTGATGAGAGCAGTTGAGCACCAGCAGAGAACTCACTATGCAACTGCAACACCAATGGCTACAATGCTGCTTGCTGCTTAACTAATTGCAGCTCACTGACCCTGTATCTGTCTACAATGCTTGCCTTGATTGCTTGTTAGTTTGCTCTTCGATTCGCATTCGCTGTTGCTCGTCTTCTAGCTTGGGCATCGCGATGGAGTTCTTGCCGCGCGATCATCACCTGTTGTGCAAGGGGTTCGGGCCCGTCGGCACGACGCGCTTGTCGTCGTCGTCGGAGCACGGTGACGGAGCGCCGCCGTGTCCGCCGCTCTTCTCCTTACACGGCACGCCGCCGCCGGCGTCGAAGGCGGTCGAGCGTCCACCACCTTTCGCCTTCGCCACGGCGCGATGCACGGGCTGCTGCAGGGACGACGCCACCGCCGCCGCCGACGCCGGCAGCGCCACCCTGTGGCCGTGGTCGTGCGCGCGGCGCCTAGACGACGACAGTGACCTGGCAGCGGCGGCGGCGGCGAGCTGCAGCACGACGACGGCGATGCACAGTGCGGCGGCGCAGCGTGCCGGCCACCGCCGCCTCCTCATGGAGCTCCACGCAGAGGTGGCGCCGTGGCGCGCGCGCGCGCGCTCTCGAGTACGCACGTTCTTGTTGTTGTTGATGATGGTTGGGAGGAAGAAGAAGAGGAGGAGGAGGGAGACACACGCAGGTGAAACGAACACTCGCCGTTTTTAACAGCGCGCAGTTGTGGTGACCACCACAGTACCACACTGACAAACTACGGCTACCAATATTATTAACCACACTTTCTGAGGACAATTATTTACTTAATTAACCAAAACTGCGCTTGCCAGAGGACAGAACACACGATGGAACTAAACGTGTTTATTATTGGAGAATTTATGTCGATTAATGGGATTTTTTTCAACGCTTAACTATTCGTCTTATTTAAAAAATTAATGTAAATATAAAAAATGATAAGTCATACTTAAAATACTTTTGATAATAAAGTAAATCACAAACAAAATAAATAATAATTTCATAATTTTTTTTAATAAAACGAACGATCAGACATTACAAACAAAAACTCAAAGCGACAAGTATTTTGGGACGGAGGTAGTAATTAATAGCTGTACATGTGTGTAAGTGTCCTAGGATTTTTACAGTTTTGCAAAAAGAAAGGCTGCACTGCACCCCATGCTCCTGGATGCAGCTATAGCTAGTACCACACCCAACCACATTGATGAGCCTTCAATCCCCTTCCTCCTCTCACTTTGTGCGTGTATTTATGCCTGTACTTATTCCGTCCTAAAATAAATAACTTTATTATGATATATAACATATATAGTATTGTGAATTTGTATTATCGACACCTCTCGTATTAGTTTTGTTGAGAATAAATATAATATTTCAACTATTTGTCTAGATTTATCTATACAATTTGATCTTTTTTTCTAGAACGAAAGGAGTATATATATCTTTATATCTAGAGAGAGAACATGGCAATGGCATTGCAGAGGTCACTCTCTTGTGTATGCATGGGCCGAGACGACGACGGAAATGCATGCCGGGTTTGACTGCCTTTTGCATGCTACCTCACCGGTGAGATCCATCGATCGATCGATAGATCAACACAGTGTGCACATACTCCATGTGTTACTCGAATTCTTCTCCGTTTCCGGCGGCCGTGTGACCGTGTCCGTGCCCATAATTCTTCAGTACTCTTCAGTTCGTATTACTCCTTGGGTATCTCTCTCTCTCGAGAGAGAGAGGGTACAGTCTACAGATAGACTGTAGTGTGTGCATGTGTGATGATAATAATGGAGTGCTCATCGGTGGTTGGTTCATTACATGTCGATGTCTCTAGGGAGTGGACTATGTACCTGTCCAACGATAGGTAGCACTGAAAACGTGCATTAGAGTAGCACTAGCAGGACTTACTAGCTAGCAGTAGCACTGAAGAAAATGTTGCTGCTGCTAGCTGCTTCTTGTACTGTATTTTTCATCTTCGTTTTCTTTTCTTGGGCCGAGTTTAGTTCCAAAATTTTTCTTTGAACTTCTAACTTTTTCATCACATCAAATTTTTTCTACACACATAAACTTTCAATTTTTCCATCACATCGTTCCAATTTTAACTAAATTTATAATTTTAGCTGAACTAAACACACCCCATGGTGTTGAAACTGCACTGCACAGTTTTCATCTGAAGAGCTACAAACTCAAAATACCTCACGCAAGCTGTATATATGCACTACTGTACGTATACTCTAGCTAGTCTATACTACTCTGTATTCTGTGTGTACATGTGTACGTGAGCTTATACTGACAGACCAGACGAGTTGTTAAATGATTTCATGAGTTTTGACGCAGTTTGCTGCTGCTTCTTGGATTTCAGCTCCTGCATCGATCTGCATGCTTGTTTTAGTATGGGGGCACTTGATTCAGAAAGAGACACACAAACCGTCTCGGGAGTTACGATTCGATCAGATACAACAAAAATTCAGCATGAATTTCATCCGATGCTTCCAGTTTCTCTGAATCCGTGAGAAAAACCCTCTCTGTTTCATGTACATGCATGGCTGTCAAAATCATATCAAACCTCTGCTTAACATTGATCACTCTTCTCTTGTGGGATCGAGCTGTACTGATTGACCGATGTTGTAAGCAAAAGCTGTTTCCTTGGTCCATTTCCTGTGCTGTTTCTTACTACACGTTCTATAGCGTTTGTCTGATTACAATTACTGCCATATAGAGATAGGTAGCGAGGGATGGGCCGGTACATGAGTTGCAAAGCCTGGGCACAACTGATGCATGCATAGCTCAAAGCTAAACTTATTTATGTTTCTGCCTTTACCCAGTTCCTTTTTTTCCCTTTACCTTTACAAGAATGATCATGGCTATGCATGAATGCATGGTGACCGAGTATTCGAGTGAGTGAGACAAGCATCAGCAACAAAGAGGCCTCCCAAATGAGCTATAGGAGATACATAGTATTATATGCATGGTTCACTGCAATATGATAAACAAGCATATCGTATCGAGATACTCCTTCCTATCATAAATCTTTGACATTCTGAAACAAGATTTTGATCAAACCTTTTCAAATTCTAACAATCAACTTATATCAGAATAAATTTATTTTGTTTGAACGAAATCGGCAAGACGCCAATTTTCATTGAATAGAGAAGTAATAAACTGTACAAAAAGTAAGTATTTACAAGTTATAAGGCCGCGACCCTAGCAACCGAAAACAATTACACTATCAGCCAGGCGGCAAGATGCCCTACGCCCGCCAGACTCCACGTTTTTCCTTCCTCCTTTATCAGAATAAACTTATAGAACTTAGTAAGTTTGTGTTATTATGATAATAACTTTTCCGTTTGCCATTGTTTTCCGTTTGCTTTTAGACTATGCATTTAAGAATTCATAGTCAGAATTTCAAAAGTTTAACGAAATCTTATCTAAAGCCTTAAATATTATTTTTAGTAGAGGGAGTATTCCATCTATCTCATAAATAACAAACCTAGTACTATGATTTATCTCATAAAAAACAAACCTAGTATGTAATATGCCAGTTCATACTAGATTTATGTTTTATGGAACGGTTGGAGAGTATGTTGCAACATATATACCCAGCATTTAAAAATCCACTTAACTGTACTCGTATTTGTTGGGACTGTTCATCGAGAGCTTTGAAAACGAGCTGCACCAGAAAGATTGGTCCTTTTCAGACGTCGAATCATTAGCTGCATTTCCGCGGTGGTACATAGAGTTGCCATAAATGGCTCGAAGCAATGGCAGCAATGGTGCCCCAATGACCATGGATGCAGGCCCCTCTATTAATTTGATGTGGTAATTTAAGTACTAACACCAGAAATTCAGAACAGCAGCAGTACAGTACCCAATCTTTCTTGCACTGCAGACCTGGAAATTGATGGGAATCGATCGTGAGCATTCATTCATCTCGCGCATGGTTAGTTGCAGACACGATGAATCATATTGTAAATGAAACATGAAGTAGCTGAAAAACTGGTTAGTTAATCTAGTTTCCATGTCAAATGAAACATGCAGCTAGCCGTCCAGTGCAGGATGAGAGCCCCTTTGAATCGTAGGAATAAAAAACAGAGGAATAGGAAAAACACATGATTCTAACTGAATATAATTGTAAAACAGAGGAATAGAAAAAACACAGGAATGGCTGTTTGATTGGACCACAGGAAAAACGCAGGAATCAGATGAGAGAGATAGACTCAGAGGAAATGTTCCAAGAAGTTAGACCTCTTGCTAACTTTCCTCCAAAATGTGCATAGGATTACTCATTCCATATGAATTTTAAAGGATTGGATAGAATTCAATCCTTTGTTTCAAATGCCTTCCTAGAATTTTTTTTCCATAGGATTGAAATCCTCTAAAATTTCTACATTTTTCCTACAAGTCAGAGGGGCCTAATCATTTTCAATGCAGTACTGTCCGACATGTACAAATGTTGAAAAGTTTGGAGTCTGTAGAGATGGTTTAATTCCTGCAGCTCCTACGTAGGGGCCGGACCCCCATTGGACAATTCGTACTTGACAGTAACTTTTCTTCACCAGTACAGACAAACCCATAGATGAAATCTTCCTTACAAACTTTCAAGCAACCGTCTGGTTAAAAACTAACATAATGGTGTACCCAGCTGGTGTTTCACAAGCTTCTCAACTTGTTGTTTCGATCTTCCTGGGAATAAAGATTCAAGAAGTTGTTTCGAGCTTCTCAACTTGTTGTTTCGACCTTCCTTCTCAAGGTGAATCCATGACAATAAGTGTAGCAGTAGAGAAAAAGAGTACGGCGATATCAGCTTGCTGGTCTTCTGTGCTGAAATCACCCTGGCATTTAACAATGTCAGTAGTAGGCAAACAGCCTAACACTGTCAATGACCGCATAATTCCAACTCGAGTGAAAACATTGCAGTATGGCCGTACAGTGGAGATCTGGTTAAAAAAACAGTAAACTAGTGAGGAGACTTCAACCCTCAAAAGTATTACTATTAGTCAGTAACTCCTCAACATTTCTGCAAAACACTGTCCTATTGTACAAGCAGGCATGGTGAACAGAAAATAATTATTGACATAAATCCAACACCTGAAATACAGTGTATGTACATCATTCAAACACAGGTCAGAAGATGGGCGATGTAAAGCTGCCGGTTAGAAATACAGTCAGAAGCTAGTAATTTTGTACAGACAATTTATTAGAGCAGGTACAACTTCACATATGTACAGTAAACTGAACCATTGGTCCATTGTAGATGGCTGTACTACATACATGGCAGAGCAAATCTAGTGATACTTGATGATCAAATCTCCCCCCGGTAGCCACCACCACCGAAGTAATCACTTCTTGCTCGAGCAAGCGTGACACTGTTCTGGAGCTGCTGCTTGGGGCAGGCCTCGATACGATGGCCAAGGCCACCACAAAACGCACAGCCCTTCACACCACTCTGCTGAGCAATGGCCACCTTATCGTCCTCCTGTGGATCATCAAGATCAGCCAGAATTGGTGGTAACCTTTGCTTTGATTCGATGAGCAATTGCTTCAGGTCAAGAAGCGTAGTCTCTGTCTGGTTCTTGTTGATGAATGTCGTTGCGACGCCGGTTTTCCCACGCCTGCCGGTTCTTCCAATCCGATGCACATAGTTCTCTATCTCAGCAGGCATGTCGTAGTTGATCACATGCTGGATATCAGGGATATCAAGGCCTTTGGATGCAACATCTGTAGCTACCAATACATCCTTTTCTGAGGCTTTGAATGATTTGAACGCGTCTTTTCTTTCCTCATCATCTTTTCCACCATGGATTGCAACAGCTTCGACACCTTTCAGAAGAAGAAATTCTTGGATGTAATCGACATCGGCTTTGTGCTCGCAGAAAACCAGCACAGGGGGTGGGGTTTTCTGGAGACACTCAAGGAGGTATATGATTCTTGCTTCCTCCTTGACATACTCAACCTCTTGGATGACATCAAGGTTTGCTGCTCCAGCTCTTCCCACATTGACAATGATTGGTTTCACTAGCGCACTCTTTGCAAAATTCTGGATCTTCTCTGGCATGGTGGCAGAGAAGAGGAGTGTCTGTCTCTGTGCCTTGAAATGGTCGAACACCTCCCTGATGTCGTCCTCAAATCCAAGATCGACTAGTCTGTCCGCCTCATCTAGTGTTAAATACCTGGACATATGAAGAAAATTATTGAGAACATTCAAATAATCAAGGAATGAGAGCTCCATCAGTTGGCCTAATAAGCCAAAGCAAAAGCCAAAATTTGAATTTTTGAACTTGATTTTGGAGTTGATTTTAAGATATTCTCAGTGTAATTTCTTTTTACCGTTGGTTTTTAAGTCGCTACGAACAAAAATATAAAAGTTTTACCTATAAATTAATTTTCATTTCATAATAAGCCGTTTTGGCTTATTAGGAAATATGGGAAATCGATGAGGCTCGAACAAATGGTTTAATTACTGGAAGCATACAATCAGTATATTTGGCTATGCTGTGAGGCTCAAAACTGAAAGGAATCAAAGTAGATTCAAGACACATCTGCAGCCTTCTTTCCATCTTGTTTGATTTTTTCAGCTTTGAGCATCGACATTTCTATTACTTTCATATGATTAGCAGATAGAATCTTGTTTTACACAAGCAGATAGAATCGAATATTAGCATCTCTCCACATCCCCTTCGAAATGACTACTCTTACTTGAAAGTTGTACTTATGTATCATCTTCACCCAAAAGGCCAAAACTTAAGCTGATCACTAATTTTGGCTGAATTTCAATTTCCAGTTGACAAGCTACAAGGAAGACCATCTCTGCAGTTTGCATATATTCTGTTCTATAAACGTAGTGTTCTGACTTTTGACAAAGTCATAAGCAGTAGTAAAAACCATTTTCTACAATTATATCACTAAACTGAATACTGTTTAGCTGTTCATACTTCAAAAAAAAAACCCACCATTTCCATGATACTGAACATATGAACATAGCGCTATGAATGCCAATTTGATGACAGTGAACAATTAGCCATGGAAGCAGAGCATTCCTGAAGAAATCAGTGCACCACATACCTGCAGTTATCAAGATTCATCTTCTTCTTGGAGAGCAAATCCTTGAGCCTCCCAGGAGTCGCCACTACAATATGCACGCCCTTCTTCACCACCTCCATCTGCGTCCTCATGTCCACGCCTCCAATGCAGAGCAGCGGCCGTATCTCCGGGTACCCGGCCTCCATGAGCGGCGCGAGGAACATCTCGATCACCTCGTGCGTCTGCCTCGCGAGCTCCCGCGACGGGCAGACGATGAGCCCGAACGGGCCCTCGCCGGGCACGATCGGCATCAGGATCTCCTCCTGCAGCGCCGCCATGATGAGCGGCAGCACGAACACCAGCGTCTTCCCGGACCCCGTGAACGCGATCCCGATCATGTCCCGCCCGGAGAGCGCGACGGGGAGACCCTGCACCTGGATTGGGGTCGGCTTCTCGATTCCCTTGCCGCGGAGCGCGCGGAGGATGGGCTCCGGGAGACGGAGGTCGCCGAAGCTTCGGGACGGCGGGGGCACGTCGTCGCCGTCGACAAGGATGTGCCAGCTCCGTCGCAGCGCGTCCGCGCGGGACCGCGGCATGCGGCGGAGGCGAAGCGGCGGCCTCCACCCCGTGGTGATCGGCTCGGAGTAGCTGATCCCCTTCGCGATCTCGCCGACGGGCATGAGGGCCTTGCGGTCGGAGAGGTGCTCGATCATCTCCCTCTCCTGCTGGAGCAGCCGCTCGGCCGGGGTCACCTCAGGGGCCTCGCGCTTCAGCTTCGTGGCCTTCACGAGCAGGCTCGTCTTGACCGCAACCTCACCCACCGCCGGCGACGAGGTGGAGCGCGGCGGCGGCGGCGGGGCTGCAACTGCAACTGCGTTCGTGGTCGGCGGTTTAGTGGCGCGGCGGAGGCGTTCGGCCTCCATGGCCCGGCGCTTGGCGACGGGGACGTACTCCTCGTAGTCCTCCTCATCGCTGTCCGGTGTTCCGCGGCGGGGCGAGTCGCCGGCGGCGGCGGCGGCGGCGGCGGCGGCCATGGCGGGATACGAGTTGGAGGGAGGCGATTCGCCCAGGGAGAGGAAGTGGTGGCAAAAGTCGGTTTCGCCTAGAAGTCGCTAGATTTGATACGCGTGGAGGCCCAGTAGAAAGGCTTTGGGATGCAGCTGGGCCAAGTTCGCGAGTCCCAGTAGAGATTTGGGCTTTGTGAAATCTGGAGATTTTATGTGGCCGACCAGTCTTGGATACGGCCTGGCCCATTTTGTTGGTTATGGTCAGCCCATGAATGAATGGCCAGGGATTCTCCAGTCCGGTCTGATTGTTACGTGGGCCGTCAGATGGCACATGGCCGGAGAGGTGACAGGCGGGGGTGCTGGAATTTTTTCACCTCTGAGGTTGAAACTCTTGTCAGTAGGAAATGGAGGTAAATCAAATATGGAGTCCAGTCTCATAAAAAATCTCTTTACACCTCTCATACTGAGAATCATACTCCTACATCAACATTGAAAAGTGTTACACGGTCACTGTCCATGTGTTGCCGTAAAAATCTTAATTCTTAACAGTACTGCAGCCACTCTATCACCGTACAGACCGTCACTCCATGAGTGCACTGCGCAGCAGGGTGCAGATGAGAAGCAAATGATAGTCCATGTTTTTATCGTCATTGCCATGCATGCATACAGCTGGTTGCCATTTGCGAGAACAGCATTCACAGCAGTGCACCGTACGTCCTTTCGCGTCGCCTTCTGCCACCCCGGCCCACCAGCCTATCAGAAGACTATCCCCTGTGTGTACCAGTGTATCATATCGATCGCCAAAACGGAAGTTTCAATAATCCACGCTATATTTTTGCCTGTTCAAAACACAGAATGGAAATTTCACTTCACGCAATAGCACTAGCCCTGTACTGTAACACTTATTTAGGCACGTGATGCTTGGAGCGAGGTGGAGATTAAAAAAAAAATTGGCGATGTCAGTCTAATCGGCGAGTTACGGCGCCCGTGCTATGAATGCCCATGCATGAATGTCGCCCATCTGCCAAATTAAACGAGCGCGTAAATGATGCAACAAAACAATGCTTTGAATCATCACGGCGGTGGTAGCTAGCCATCCAATTTTGAAGAGCCCCAGATCGATCCATCGAACTTGGCTCGTCTGAATGATGAGATATCGAGAGATCCCTTCCCTCCCTGCAAGCTGCCGCCAGGATGCGACGAATCCTCTCGTCTCGTCGGTGGGCCGGACGGACGGACGGACGAACGGCGAATGCGTCAGCGCACGCAGCAGCGCAGCGGATAAGGCAAAAACGCGCAGCAGCCAGCCAGCCTCGCGAGGACAACACGTGCCAGCCGCGCGCAGGCGCTGCAGCTGCAGCAGCAGCGGCAGCGGGGTCGCGCACGGGGGACACACGGCGGATGCCGGGCTCGCGCACGCACGCGCGCACGGGCGCACGGGCGCACGGCCACCCCAGCGCTGCGCGAACCGTACGCGTACGAGCCGTGGCACAGCTGGAGCGCAGCGGTGGCTATGGCGTCACGAGATCAACCCCACGTAACGTACGGTGGTGCAGTGCCGACCCGACCGGGGAATGATGGCCTGACGCCGGGATGCCGCCGCGCGGAGGACGCGGCCGGGGAAGGCGGATTGATCTCGATCTGCCCATGTAAAAAGGCGAAGAAATCATGCATGCCGCTCACACGCCGTCACGTACGCGTGGCGACGCGACGAGGCAGAGTAGGCAACCGACCAGCTGCTACCCGGGAGCAAAACCGGCGTGCCGCGGTTGCGCGTACGCTGGTTTCGTGCTTTCTGGAAACATCGTACTGTATATACTTTCAGTATGCGACTATTAGTATAGTATAATCTTCTCGCGGAGACAAGTATTTTGTATATTATGTAACGACCTCAGCAGCAGCAGCAACAGCAATGGAGTACTCCTTTAATTAGATGTGATGTACTATTTGTAGTAGGATATATCACATCCAACCAAATTTTCTTATACGTAGTATTTTCTCTGTTTTATAAAGTAAATATTTTAGCATTACCCAAGTTTATAGATATGTTAATGAATCTAGATATATATGTGTGTCTATATTCATTAACATTTATATAAATATAAACAAGTTTTATATTATAAAAATGGAGGGAATACTATTTAGGAACAGAAGGAGTACAGTACAGTGCTTCTGCTAGCTAGTGCTCGCAATGTAGAGATGATACGTGTGGCGACTGATGTTGCTAGGACTGCGAGTATTGAACACACTCACAGGGCGCTGTGTTCAGCGACAATTTTGGAGTTGGCAGCCATAAACGCAGCCGAGAGCGAGTCAGCTAACGCTAGCTAGGACCCACGGAGGGACGCACGAATCAGTCGCAATGATAAGGCTAAAGGCTAGTTGATGCTTGCTGGTGAGTGGTGATCGATCGATCGATCCATCGGCCGGTCACGGCTGGAATTAATCGGACGCGTTTAAGGCGTGCGGCGGAGCGCATCCCATGCATCCGGCAGGGGGTCCGAATCCCTTCAGGCTTCTTCAGATCGATCAGCTCAGCTCAGCATCAGGCTTGTGTTAATGGCGGGGAGCAGGCAGGCAGGCAGGCAGGCAGGCGTGTGAGCGTTCAACTCCCCTTCAAATTTGGAGCTGTAGATTTGCTGATCCACTCGTACGGCGTACGTGCAGCACACGATTGATGAGTGAGGTAGTAGCTGCTCCAGATGCTAGCTGGCACACGATCAACAACGAAGAGGAAGGGACCCCATCCTTGATTGATTCAATTCATCGCAGTAGTAGTAGTATGCATGATGCATCTGCATGCAGATGTACGGAGTACTCGCTACAGGTTAGCTAGCGTCCGTGCGTAGGCCACGCGTGCATCGCGAAACAATTGGTAACCTGCAATTGGGGCTGATGAGAAACTACTCCACGCGTACATTATTGTTGTTCAGCTGCGCGTATCCTAGTACGTCGTGTGTGAAACAACTCGATCGAGTCGTCGTATTGCAAAAAAACGAGTCATGGCTTTGCACGACCGGGTACAATTCTTTTTTTATACTCTTCTCCATTGATCGGTGGGAACGAGGAGGGCTCTTGGAGTTTTTGTCTGTGTACGTGTGAGCCAGGCCAGAGTGTCGGACAGAGGTTTAGAATTTGTAACGTGGGTTTGGCTGTGTTTAGATATAAAGTTTGGATCTAAACTTTAGTTCTTTTCCATCGTATCAACATGTCATACACACAACTTTTCAGTCACATCATCTTCAATTTCAACTAAAATCTAAACTTTGTGCTGAACTAAACACAACCTTTGCGTCTGGATTGAGGCCAGGCATGTACATAGAGCTAGAGATTCAGTTGAAGAACACATAATTTAATTTCTCCATGTTCTCATCAATTCCTACTAGTATGATAGTATCATTCGGTTTGTAGGAATGAGATATATACGAAAACAAAAGAAAATCCAGAAAACATAGAAAAAAAAATTATCCAATCGAATCTCTTGAAAAAAATTCTATGAATTAATGTGCGCATACATTTCTATTACTCCACATTTTCTATTTCTATGAATTGAAATTCCTCCAAACCTAACAAGCCTAAAAAACTCATGTAAATCGGGCTTAAAGTTACTTATATTTGAGACCCGGGAGTACCTACAAAACCATTATTTTCAGAGAAACTATAGTAAACTTTTAAAATTATTGCAAACTAGCCTTGAGATTAGGAAAAGATAGTTGTACATCAAGATTTCTCCCCTGCATCAAAGCCCTGTAAATTCATGATAGCTTAAGCATTGATCTTTTGATTGATGCAGGATATCACTAAAAAGTACTTCCTCTTATTACTCTTTGTCTAAATTCGTTGTCTTAGGAGGAGTCACATATCTTATTAGGTTGTTTTTTTTTAAGATGGGAGTACAGCACGTAGCTCATGGTGGTTGGTTGATTACATTGGCATCCTTTATTTTCAACTCCCATGCGTGGTACCTATCCTTATCAAATGTCTTAATCAGTTTCATAATCGCAAAATTGAGGTGGCATGAGTATGTTTCCAAGAAAATGATGACACGTTTCAAAACCTCTGCGGAGCATTGGCGGTATTTGTAATCACACGGGACCGTATTCTACCAATACGTCGAAATGTGTCAATTTTAATTTATCCCTTAAAATTGTGCAGGAGCTGAACAATCTACTACTTAGTAGTACATCAAGGATTCTCATGGTGCAAAATCCGCAGTTAAAGTCATGTTTGCACTAGCTAAAAATTTCATACTAATTGCCTAAAAAGATACGGTGGAGTAAACAAACAGATTCATAACTTTTTGACAACCAGTATTCGTACAGTCGTACGTATCGTAGGACACTCTGATTAATATAGTTCTGACAGATATGCAATTGCTTGCCATGCAATTATAGCTAGCTGTATCTGCGTAGTACTGTAGCACAGACTGATGATTGCACTTGATGTGCTCTAAAAAAATCGGTCCTTGAAAAAAAAAGCGTGATTGAGACCCTGTTTAGATGGGACTAAAACTTTTAAGTCCCTATCACATCGAATATTTAGACACTAATTATAAATATTAAACGTAGAATATTAATAAAACACATCTATAATCTTGGACTAATTTGCGAGACGAATCTATTGAGCCTAATTAATCCATGATTAGCCTATGTAATGCTACAGTAAATATTCTCTAATTATAGATTAATTAGGCTTAAAAAATTTGTCTCGCGAATTAGCTTCCATTTATATAATTAGTTTTATAATTAGTCTATATTTAATACTCTAAATTAGTGTCTAAATATAGAGACTAAAGTTAAGTCCATGGATCCAAACAACACCTGAATTCATGAACGCAAAAGAAATGAAACGAATGGTGTGAGTGGTCAGAGGTAGTACCAGCACAAGTTTGACATGTTCTCAGGACACCACTAATGTATATAGTAAAAGTTAAATAAACTTTAACTATAGCACTTCTCACAAATGTATATGGATACAATATGACATTAAGAGAAGAGAGAGAAATAGAGATAGATAATATTATTTATATCATATGGGTAGTTCATATGCATATGGATACATTTTGCTATTTTCTTTATATGAACTAGTTGCACAATGTTAATAGGTGGCTGAATGGAATAGTTTATATTGTGGATGCCCTCATAGCAATGCAACTTCTTTTCTTAAAAAAATCTGTGGAAATAAATTCCATCAAAATGACGAGTTAGGCAAATCACTAACCTGTCATTTGAGATGCAAACTCTATTAAATCTTCAAGCCATTAATTTGCAAGAAATTAAGAATCCAAAGCCAGGCTGATATTAGCAATGCATTTTCCTGCATTGTCATCGTTTCGCACATGACTGATACGCTTATTGCGAAAAAATAATTAATAAATATCTTTTTAAAATGTGCATTTAACGACTTAAAAACTAATGCTAAAAAGTAAACAACGATTAAATAGTTATTTTTAAAATTTAAATTTTGGTTGGAACTAATAGTCCACCAAATTTATGTACAGTTAAACCTGGTGCATTGGGGTCCTATTCAGATTCGTAGTTTCTAGAAAATATCACGTACCTTTAAAATTTCTTATATTATACTACTCCGTAGGACGGAGTACCAAAGAACCACAAGAAAATTTATACGGCCATCTGAATTCTGAGGAGAACACAACCAAAGATGGCAAATCCAGCGATGAGCAAACGAGCCGTTGCGTCCAGAATTCGCTGAACGTCTCGGTCGATTTTAATATCTGTACTATACTACTACGTGACCCTCTATGGCGTCGTCGAGCCGAACCGAGCCGAGCCCCCTCTGCTGCTCGCTACAGAGGCCGCTGTCTCTCGCCCCTCTGGTGCCAACTCACACCCATTACACGGCTGGCAATGGCACGGCATGGCATGGCAGAGAAAAGATCACTCACTTCGCGGCACCATCCATCCAACCATCTTCCAAAACCCCTATATAAACCCCAGCTTCGCCCCCTGAATCTCCCACACACACTGATCACCGACACAAACCCAAAGCTAAGCTTCGAGCTCCCCCATTGATCAGTGAGCTAGCTAGTAGCTGGTTGGTTAAAAGGCCTTTTTGTTTTGTTTGAGTTGGAGCAGAGGAGAAGAATGGCGGCTCTGCTTGTGGTCGTGTTGGTTGCCATGTCGGCCATGGTGGCGACGGCCAACTTTAACCAGGAGTTCGACATCACCTGGGGCGATGGCCGTGGCAAGATCCTCGAGGATGGCCAGCTGCTGACGCTCACGCTGGACAGGACGTCCGGCTCAGGGTTCCAGTCCAAGCACGAGTACCTCTACGGCAAGATCGACATGCAGCTCAAGCTCGTCCCCGGCAACTCCGCCGGCACCGTCACCGCCTACTACGTGAGTGTCACCTTCCGCCGCCGCCGTTGTTGTCGCCGATGTGATCATGTGAGCTGATGGTGTTTGTGTGTGCAGTTGTCGTCGCAGGGGCCGACGCATGATGAGATCGACTTCGAGTTCCTGGGGAATGTGACCGGGGAGCCGTACACGCTGCACACCAACGTGTTCACGCAGGGGCAGGGCCAGCGCGAGATGCAGTTCCGCCTCTGGTACGACCCCACCAAGGACTTCCACACCTACTCCATCCTCTGGAACCCCAAGCACATCATGTAAGTCAAGTCCACACAAGAATTCAGAAATTTTACAGGTGACAAGAGAATGAATCGTGAATGGATTGTTCGTTTTGTTTGTTGCTGCAGATTCATGGTGGACGACATGCCGATCAGGGACTTCAGGAACCTGGAGGGGAAGGGGATCGCGTTCCCGAAGAACCAGCCGATGAGGCTCTACTCCAGCCTGTGGAACGCCGACGACTGGGCGACGCAGGGTGGACGCGTCAAGACGGACTGGACGCACGCGCCCTTCTCGGCCTCCTACCGCGGCTTCCGCGCCGACGCCTGCGTCGTCGCCGCCGGTGGCCGCACGCGCTGCGGCGCCACCGTCGGCACCGACGCCGCACCCGGCACCGGCGCCGCCGCCGCCGCCGGTGGATGGTACAACCAGGAGCTCGACCTCACGCGGCAGCAGCGGATGCGGTGGGTGCAGAGCAAGTACATGATCTACAACTACTGCACCGATCCCAAGCGCTTCCCCCAGGGCGTCCCCGCCGAGTGCTCCATGTGATAGTAAGAATATCCCATCGTCGTCGTCGTCGTCGTCGTCGATCGCCGGCGGAGCAAGATGGCCGGAGATGAGGAAGGTGACTGGCTGGCGTCTGTAAAAATAAATAAAGATTGGCACTGGGGGTGGTAAAAAAAAAGTGTAATGTAGCTGTGGTGGGTAAAATTCTTTTTTGTTCTCTGTTTCGTAGTAAGCCACTGCACGCCCTGTTCGTGTGTAACTGATCGTGTCCATGCAACAATTCATGTGTAATATATTCCTCAACAACATACATGTGTCTCGTCCTCGATGTGCATACGTGATCGTGATCTGCTCTACGTTGCAACTGTATAAATTTTGTTGCTTACTACTCCCTCAATCCCATCCCGAAACAAATTCATTTTTCACATATTTCGCACGTATTAATCTCTATCTCTACTATTATAAATATTGAAAATGTTTTTGTCGATATTTTGATACGTTATTCGTGTATGAATCGGTTTTTAATTTCGTTTGCTTTTAAAAATACATATATGTATTTGAGTCGGTTTTTTAAGACTGTTCACTTTTGATAATACAGAAGGATTTATATAAGAAATCTATTTAAAAAACTCGCATGCTAACTTGAGATGATCAGATTTCTAACTGCAGCTCATAATTTTCTAAAAGTATATATATCCAAGCGAACTCGCGACTAAACCATATAATAATAATAAGATTAAAATAAACATTTCTAGAAAATAAAAAAGTAAGAATTTCTCAATTTCTCAAATCCTAATACAATTACTTATTTCTTTATTGTTCTCTATTTAAAAATCAAATTATTTTGGAATAAATGAGGGAAACTTAAGAAATGAACTTACTGTAAGCGGAGGTGTACAAGTATAGAGTTTTGGTCTGATTAATTACTCGTGGTACAGTCATGCACTGTGCGTTGAAATAAGTTGATCTTGGTCTATCGGGTTTCAAAAAAAAAAGAGTTGATATTGGTCTTATTGGTCAGCAGTGTGTGTCAACACCAGGTCAATTACTTACGTACGTACTCCTACTCAGCACTGGGTCTATCGGAGTAGATGTTGCGGTCTCCAGGTGTTGAACAGCTGTGTGTAGTACGTACGTAGCCTATTCCATTATTCGATGCCAAACAGTCTCTTTAATTGATCATTAAAAAATTAAGCGTCTTAGTAATTCTTTACGATTCACGATATGGATGTTTGGTTCGACAAGAGAGCTTTCGTGATTAGTGCGAAAATTAAGATACGATTAACTAAAGATGCTACCACTAGTCTACGTCACACACGAGTATATCAGCATGGAACAACCAAACAAACAGATCAATTAACTTGATTCAGAATCAAATCCAAGCAAATCAGTTACTAACTCGATTCAGAATCAAATTCAGATGCCCCTCTCTCAGTTAATCCACAAGGCTAATTAAGCAGCAGCATGAGTGAGTACTGTGCGAGTCACAGGACAGAAGACGACGAGAAGGGGCACGAGTACGAATACACGAGAAGGACAAGGGCTCGTAATGATCCGTCAGGTCTGCAGACTCTCAGTTGTCTCGCTGGGCACTGGGCGATCGATGTGAAATGCGTGTTCAATTTCTGATTCGGACAAGTGGCCGCACCGACAGATTCACAGGGTGTAGATAGCCTTCGCCCATGGCTGGCCTGGCCATCGTCGGTCGGATTTTTGGATCAGCACGAAGCTGATCGATCGAGCCAAAATTCACCAACAGAAACAGATCGCTGCTGCTACACAGTACAGAGTACCGGAACAAAGCTACAAGCCGTGATCTTCTCTTTCTCTGAAGAAAGATGGTGGCTGTGGGCTGTGGCTGCTTGCCTTATCCTTTCGAGCTGGTCAGGTCACGGTCTCACGGACCAGCCGTTTCAGGCTTTCAGCTACTAGGAGTGTCTGAATTTTCTGAATAAACAATTTTACGTTACTTGAGAATATATCATAAGGCATTATTTTTTCTATTGTAAATTTGGTATCTCATGTTACTTAGATAATGTGAGATACCATGAGGTACCAAAATCACCTTAAAAACCGTAGAATTGCTTTCTAAATATTTAGTAGGTGCTACTTGCGGTTTCAGTCGCCCACACCGCTTGGTTGTGGTGTTAAACTGGTAGGGACGTTAGCCCGTTTGTAGACGATCAGTACTCCGTGGTGTTAAACTGTTAAATTTGGAGTAGTAGTAGAAATCTTCGGTACAATGCTTTAATGAATCATGATGAAAAGTCAAAGGATGAGCTTGCAGTTTTGCAAAATATTGTGACAACCTATTAGGATCAGGCTGTGTTCTAGAGAGTTTTTTTTTATATGAGCACGGTTTCTGAAATATTAAATGATATTTTTTATATAAAAACTTGTTACATAAAATTATTTTAGAAAATTAATTAATAATAGTTTACTTAATTAATCATGTGACTTCTTTTCATTTTTTTGTGTTATTGAATCACCTCATCCAAAGTGTTGTCATGAACAAAGCCTTAGTTCTTTTTAATTATTTATCAAACTGTTCAAACAGATTATTTACGCGGTGGTAAAATAAAATAAAATTTCTATAAAAAGAACTTTCTTCTACTTATATTGCTTAGACCACCTATTTTCGTTATTTGTTAAATATATTTACCACAAATATTAATTTATCCCTATAATCGAGTAGATAATCTGCGGCAACAATTCACTCAACAACTTATTTCAAACGAACATGAGTCCGTTGGTGAGTTTTGAGCTAAGTACAACAATCTCTTTGGCAATCTACACTAATGGATGATTTACCAGAAAAAATGGAGAGGAGAATGACTAAAGATGTCCCTATTTCTTGTTTTTTTTTTCTTTATGCACCATTGTTTCTTGTTGGGATATAAGTTCGCTAAGTGTCATTATAGTTAGCTGTACCTACAGTGTGCGAGTAGTATGCAACCGACGTCCGGCTGTTTTGTCACCTCATCATGTCTCTTCGGGTGTCGTCTGATAGGGATTTGGGAGTGGGCATGCATGGTATCTGCAGTAACCAGTGACTTACGATTGATTGCTACACAAAAGCTCTATCACAACTTGTGACTCTTGCATGAGCATCAACACACATGATCAAACTAGTACATCTGCTCTTCCTTTTGTAAACTACTACTAGTAGTACTAGTAAAAATTATGTACTCCTACATTCCTTGAGCCCCTTTGTTTTAGATAATGACATTCCTTAGAACTTTTGGAAGCTTGGTTTGAACAGCAATTAAATCATGGACGGTTCAGGGAGTTAACAACTTCAACACCAACATGTCGTGTATACATTTTTTGTCGTGTATACATTTTTTTTCTTTTTGCCCTGTTTCCGCTGATTGGAGTTGCGTTTAGTCGTCGTACTCTCTTCATTTTTGGTTTTTCTGTTTTGTTTTTTCTCCCTCCCCTTAGCATAAACCGGTTTAGCTGATTGCGTTGTGTAAACAAACTCTCTTTTTTTCTAATATATTGATGTGCAATCCTTTTACGCGTTCGTGGAAAAAGTGTACAAATTTTTCAATGAGAGTTTGAAATCCAATTCCAGGAGGAAAAAATAACTCTGAACCAGTACTGATCTATGCATGATTGAGCTGGTTGTACGCAGTGCAATGATAGACTCAAGAACAGGATATACCCACATTGTCAAATTTATGAAGTTTAAACAGGGAGCCAAATAATTGGTTGTCCACGACGCTTTATTTATGGGTGGGGGTATATCCGTATATGCTAGCTAGTGTCATTCTGCCGCCTTCGTTGCACTCTGCATTGCGGGTGTGTTTAGTTCCACTTTTCCTAAAATTAAAAGTTTATATATGTAAGAAAATTTTGATGTAATGAAAAAATTGAAAGTTTGAAGAAAAAGTTTGGAACTAAACAAGGGCTGCAAGGGCTGCATCTCTTGTTCTCTTGCAAGACCCTAGCACTAGCTGCAGTGCTATACTGCCGTTGACAAGTCACGTAGAGACAAGAGCAAGTATAATAGGGGGTTGTAATTCCGCTAAATGCTAAAGTAGAGGAGAAAAGAGAGGAGAAGCGGGCTGTAAACTTACAGTCAGCTTGGACGCAATAACCAAAAAATTACGTGAGAGAGACAGGTGTGCCATATATGAATTGTAAATAGCTAACTATTATATGCGTAGGCTAAGAAAAGGCTATAAAGAACCAACAAGTTAGTTGTATTATTAATCTTGCTCTAACTTAGTTTTCTTTTTTCTTTTTTCTTTTTTTTAAAAAAGAACTCGACCAAAAGGAGACACATCCCGAAGACATTGCATTTAAGGTCGGGAACTTAGTTAAGCATTAATTTGGATCATAATTCAATAGAAATTTTATAGGTAAACGTGGGAAAAAATATGGGGTCTTTTGGATCGTAGGATTAACCTCGAATGGATTTACTCCCTCCGTCTTAATATAAACAATAAATATAGATTCATGGTATTAGGATATATCATATGTTATTTTATTTTACGTGAAAATTGTTATAGAATTTGGCTCCTTGCTAGTCCACGCTATTTCTTGCCGCACATGTAACATGTTTATTTGTACTGTGCAAGCTATAAGAGAAAAAAACATCATAATTGCTATTACTAAATGATCCAAGGTCTTACATAGTAGCTGTATACCACACTCTCTTTAATTAATTAATCATTTGATGATTGCAAGATGGTCCTGAACCTAGTGGAAGATGAGATTACATGCAATCCATTCCAGATATGCTGCTACATTTCCAGATTTCACTTGCCTAACAGAGTCACAGGTTAAAATTCGCACTACAAATAAAACAGAGATACAGTAGCTGAGTTGGACTCATTGCAAATTCCAGCTTCAGTACATTCATCCAAATTAATTGCACAATTTCAGCACCAACATAATTGGCACACCTGAGTTCAGACAACTACCCTGGCCTAACCTGCATATGATTAGATATTAGAGGATCATCATCTAGCCTAATTAGCATTTGGGAATTGGGATTACTACTTTTGATGCATCAATGGCATTCTAAAGCGACTTTCTGATAACTGAGGGACCAGTCCCTCTCCTGCGGACAGCTGCTATACGTGCAAGACTAGTCCTCCTCTTGGATTGGATCACGCCTTAGATAGTCCTGGACATCATTAAGTTTGGTCAAGTATGAGAAAACTCGGTTGCTTCTTTTCTGAAAGAAGATAATTCAGTTGCTTGTCACTACTTGGGTTTCAGTTACTATCTAGATCTATCATGTATGCACTTCATCCTAGTTGGAAGGTGATGGAGATGCAAGCTATAAATCACACTATCTGTTTAACTATAAGCTTGGAGAACACATGTGATGGCACATGGCCTGAAACAACCCAAATTATGTCAATCATCTCGCAGAGATGAAAGGCATGGCCTTGAAAGTTGAAACCCATCCGAATTTAAAGGAGGCTTTAATAGCCACTGACGAGCAACAAGAATGCATTTGCTGAACTTTCAACTCGGCCTATGAACATCGAGCTGGATCCAACTCGATCGTAGCTTGCTGAGAGCTTAAATGTGTACTCTGTTCTGAACTCTGGACACTGTCTGTGTCCAGCTAAACCGTGGTGCGGCGCTCAAGAGGCTACGAACTCGGCAAAAGGCTTTGCTTTCGGGTAGTAGGGTTTAATGTTTGGGTGTTAGTGCCTTTGTGCTTTTTTGTGCAACTGATCCAGCTTTGATGTTGCCTGAAATCCTGCATTGTTTTCTGCTCTGCCGCTAGTAACCCCAATCACCACTCGAAATATCAAGGAACCCAATCATTATCCATTGTGCTTGTGCATGAACAATCCTGTCCGATCGCTCAACTCAAAAGTTCACAGCTGGAAAATTTTATCATTGTCCTACCCTTTTCATGCTTTCGTCCGTGCTCATATGTACCGCGAGTGCAACAAACAAAATAGTTTAGCGCAGCTGAATTCCTGGAAATTTCCATACGAAAGTTTCTAGAAAAAAAAAAACGTAAGTCAGGAGCACAGCTGCGCTAAATAGCAAATCTGCAATTGTAACAACCATCCCTCCAAAACCGCGTAGCGTAGCCCAACCGATAAGCAGGCCCACTTACACACATCACTCCCCTTACACTTTCGTTATCGCTTCGTGTAAAAGGGTTAACCCGGGAGTGATGTGGTTGGAAGGAAGAGGCCTTATAAGTCGGTTCCACTCGGCTAAACTAGTAAGGTGGTACTAAACATGCGCACACAACTTATATGGGCCACACAGGCCTAATCCTTATTGGGTCGGGATGTCACAGCAATCCCCTGACATAGGCTTGTCTAGCTGAGTGGTGCTGTGTAACAAAAACTCGTTTTCTTATAATATATTGACGTGTAATCATTTTATCTGTTCGCGAAAAAAAAAATCCCCGATCAATATTGGTAATAGGAGTTATAGACTTATAGTACTTACCGGATGCATCCACATCTTGCTACTGCGATTCGATAGCCGGTGAGACCACAAATCGTCCGCATTGACAACGGGAAGGCCTGTGACCGCGCAACGCGATCACCGATCAACACGCGGGCTCGTCGGCGCCGGTGCTGATGCTGATCGATCTTACGTCGCGTCGCGATTTAACTTTGGCATCAGAGTATCAGACATTGTCAATTTTTCTCTTGTCATCGCCTCAGCTCGACTGATGACCGGACGAGGCAACGTCGTCGTCGCGACCGTGCCACTGGTGGTGTAGCTAGCTAGCGCTTCTATTACGACGTCGTCGTGTGGTGCAACGAGAAATCCTGCCGCTATTCCGCACGATGCTGCATCGTGTTGCTGCCGAGTGCCGACAGATTCGCCTGGGATATCTATCCCTTTCGTTTGCCCATAATCGTTTGAGGAAAACGTGGATTTCCTTGTAGATTTGTAGTTTCTACTAGTGACAGGCTACGTGCAAAAGCGGGTTCCCAAATTCCCAATCCCGTAGCCTTCTTGGGCTTAGCTTAGGTGCAAAGTGGGGTACAGGAGAAGCCCAATCTTGTGCACAATTCTACCAGGGAAAAAGTACACCGAAGGTCCCTCAACTTGTTATCGAGTTACAAAATCGTCGCCTAACCGTAAAACCGGATACAACGCATCCCAACTTACAAAACCAGTGTAGATTAGATCCCTCGGTGGTTTTGCACCCGGTTTTGTCCGACGAGGCGGCTGAGCCAGCGTGGGACCCACGTGGACCCCACATGTCAGGATGCCACGTCAGCAGGCTGGCCTCTCCCTTCCTCCTCTCTCTCTCTCACTCCTCTCTGGACTGGGCAGGGCGGCCGACGGTGGGGAGGAGGTCGCCGGGTGAGGAGTTCCGACGGTCGGCCGGCGATGCGGCGGCGGAGACACGGGAGAATGGGAGGGCGGCGGCAGGGCGAGGCGGCGTCGGCGGGCGAGCGCGGTGGCGGAGAGGCGGCGGCGGCGACGACGCCGTCGCGGCTCCCACTCCCTCTCCCACTCCTCCCCAAGCAGCGGCGGCGGCGGCCACCGAGCAGCGGCGCGACGAGGGCATCGTTCGCCATGGCGGCGGCACTTGGGCTCAGCGGCGGCGAGGCGTTCCGGCTGTCGGCGGATGCGGGCGCGGGCGCGCTCAAGCTGCACAAGGACGACATCACCCTCTGGTCCGTCGACGGCGCCACCGTCGCCATCGTACGTCCTTCCTTCCTTGTTAATTCATTCCCTTCCTCGATCCTTGCCGATGCTTGTGTTCGTGGCTATGGTGCGTTTCGAATCTGATGCTGCTCGTGTGGATTTGGTAGGATTAGTGCGCGTGGCCACACATTTGGTGGGATTAGTCTTGTGTTTGACTTTCACTAATCCTCAATCTTTCTAGAAATATTTGCAAAATTGTTAAAGCAATAATCTCTAACTCTTAACTATCTGGGTATGACGACGAAGAAGATGACAGTTATTCATATTTCTCAGGTTAATGCTGCTAATGAACGAATGCTAGGAGGTGGAGGTGTTGATGGAGGTGATTGAATGCAGCTACTAGTGAGCTATCATTTATCTCATCACGGATTGACTATCTCATACTCCAGTACAATTCTCATTGTAGCTATACATCGAGCTGCTGGACCTGAACTCGTAGAGGCCTGCCCAGTCCAGAGACGCGGGGCTGGCAGATTCTCCTACGCCGACGAGCTTCTCAAGGCGTTCTGCGCTGCCTTTCCTTCTTCTTCATCGTCGTCGTCTCTGCCGACGCCTGCGCCGCCGCCGACGCAGCCGCAGCCAGAGCAGCAGAAACCAGTGGTGGTGGTGGTGTAGGAGAATCTGCCAGCCCCGACGACGGCCTCTCCGGCGAAGGCGAAGCTGGCGGCCGCGAGGCAGGTGCCAGGCGGCGTGGCTAGATCCAAGAGGAGGTGAGCTTTCTTCACTTTGCCTCCACGCTCACCCACGCCGTCGCCTTCGGCTTCCCGCGTCGCAGCCGCCGCCGCCGCCTCCTCTCCGCCACCGCGCTCGCCCGCCGACGCCGCCTCGCCCTGCCGCCGCCGTCCCATTCTCCCGTGTCTCCGCCACCGCATCGCCGGCGACCTCCTCCCCACCGTCGACCGGCCTGCCAAGTCCAGAGAGGAGTGAGAGAGAGAAAGAGAGAGAAGAGAGGAAAGGAGAGGAAGGGAGAGGCCAGCCTGCTGAAGTGGCATCCTGACATGTGGGTCCTACGTGGGTCTCACGCTGACTCAGCCGCCACGTCGGACAAAACCGGGTGCAAAACCACCGAGGGACCTAATCCTACACTGGTTTTATAAGTTGGGGGATGAGTTGTATCCGGTTTCGTGGTTAGGGACGATTTTGTAACTCGATGACAAGTTGAGGGACCTTCGGTGTACTTTTTCCTTCTACCAGGCCTTACTGTCCATCACAGAGCGATGTAGCCCACAGCCAAATATAAGGCTTTGGAGTTCGGAAGGCGGAACTGGACACACGGCCCATCCTCTTTTCCGCGGTGGACTGGTTTGCGGGCCAGACCAACAAAACAAATGTAGGAATAAGTCTATTTTGCTTCCCTCAACTCATGAGCGTGGTTGAATCGCACCCCTCAACTGCAAAACCGGGTATAACCCGTCCCTTAACTTTCAAAACTGTTGCAAATCAACTCTCTGGCGGTTTCGGAGGCGGTTTCATCCTACATGGTGGGTTGACTTGGTATTCATTCCACATGGCATCGATGTGGTGCTTACGTGGCACTAAAATAAAAACAAACTTAAATAAAAATAAAAATAAAATAATTCTTGGACCCACATGTCAGTTACCCAACTCCTCCTGCTTTATCATCGGCGGCGAGCAAGATGGAGAGAGCGGCGGAGCGGCGGAGCGGCGGGAGCAGAACGACAACGGGAGCGGAGAGAGAGCAGAGGTGAGGAAGCCTCGCCATCGCCGCCTCCCCTCCTGCACCCCTCCTCCTCCGCACAGGTGAATTGCTCCTATAGTTGCACACTCATATTGGATGCAAGGACGTCGAGGACACAAGGGGATCGGGGAGTCAAAGTGGCCAGGGTTTAAACTAGACTCAAGCTTAGTTTAGCAGCAAGGGTTCCCAACCCATCTTTTTCATGTTCCGTGCGCACGCTTTTAAAACTACTAAATGTTGTTTTTTTGCAAAAAGTTTATATACGAAAATTGCTTAAAAAATATATTGATCTATTTTTGAAAACAAAAATTAGCAAATACTTAATTAATCACACGCTAATAGACCACTCTGTTTTCCGTGCGCTGGAGATACGTTCCCAACCGCCTGCAGCGAACACATCCTCACTCACTTTACAAGCATATGGTTCTCGGGGTATATTCGTACTTTTCACATGTTCTATAGCGGATACATGTTCTTGTTATGTTCTACAGTAAAGATCACAACGTTTAAATATCATTTAGCAAATTTTATATTTCGAAATCATGGCTAATTGTCTCTGATAGGATCATAGGAGGCTGGCGTCATGGCGTGCATGCGCGTCTGTGGAATTCTGAGGTCCTGAGCTTTGGTGCGCAAAGTTGGACCCCTGATGAAAGATTGTCTTCGTACGGAAGTCCAGCCGCCGCCGGGTGCCCAGGGCGGTTGGTTCCATTCCATCAATCATTTTTCCAATCGTTCTAATTGCACTTCAATCCTAATCTTTGGGTCGAATTTGGCGTAATGGCGCGTGAACCGGTCCCCGTCGCATATGTACCATGTCATTGTAACAACAGATCGAAATGCCCAAAGAATATTTCTCACAATCTTTAAAGCCACTTTTGACAAACAAACTTATTATACATCCATCGTCGTCGACTTATTATCTTCCTCGTATCCTTTTCCCATCTCTCTACTACTTTTTACACGACAATAACACATACAGCAATAGATACAGAATAATTCTACAATAAAATAGTTTCAAGTGCCCCTTTTTTTTTCCTACTTGGCAGTGCACTCCGGCGGTAACCCCTGGGGGAACCGGTACGTGTCGGCGCAGTAATTGTAGATCATGTAGTCCCTCTGCACCTGCCGGAGCCGGTCCTGCGACGCGCTGTCCAGCTGCTGCTGGTACATCCACGGGCTCCCCGGGTTGGCGCACGCCGTGGCGTCCTGCGACGTGCACCCGCTCGCGGCGAGCCCGCGGTACGACGCCGTGAACGGCGCCCGCGACCAGTCCGTCCTCACGCGCCCCCCCTGCGTCGCCCACTCCTCCGCGTCCCACAGGCTCGCGTACACCCGCATCGCCTGCGCCCGCGGGAACGCCACCCCCGTCGTCGCCTCCGTGTTCCTGTACTCCCGTATCGGCGTCCCGTCCACGTAGAAACTGAACAAACAAAACAGATTAACAGAAGTTGATCCTTTTGTCATTTTAGCGATTACCACGATAAACGCGCGCACGCGCACACCACTATACACTCTAACACAAACCAATGATATATTTTCGATATCACTAAAATCTTATTAAAAGCCCATCTACACATGCATAATATTCATGAGGAATTTTATAATTCTTGATAAAGTGTCTAGAGGTAATAAGATTTTATACTAGAAATTTTGGTAACTCAAGATAATTAGTAGTTAGATGTACTAAATTTTAAATTAAAAAATATGGCACCTCCCAGTACTTTTCAAGTATGATAAAATTACTTAATATTCGTAAGCAACAGAATTTATATTCTAATGAGTTGAGTCATATAACCACGACTCTACTAATGTATAAGTGCATTGGTGTAAAAAAAGTTGAAAAGAACATAACCGTGATACGTACAGGATGTGGGAGGGGTTCCAGAGGACGGAGTAAGTGTGGAAGTCCTTGGTAGGGTCGAACCACATGCGGAACTGCTGCTCGCGGCCGCCTTTCCCCTGGCTGTACACGTTGGTGTGCACCGTGTACGGCTCGCCGCTCGCGTTCCCCAGGAACTCGAAGTCGATCTCGTCGTGCTGCGACCCCTGCGACGACAGCTGCTTCCACGCAACACCCAATCACCATTAGCTCTTACAGGCAGGCATACGCATATGTACTCGATTGGCGATGATCGATGCGATGCGTACGTAGAAGGTGGCGACGGTGCCGGCGGAGTTGCCGGGGACGAGCTTGATCTGCATGTCGAAGCGGCCGTACAGGTACTGGTTCTTGGACTGGAAGCCGGAGCCGGACGACCTGTCCAGCGACAGCGTCAGGAGCTGGCCGTTGCCGAGGATCTTGCCGCGGCCGTCGCCCCAAGTGATGTCCACGTCCTGGTAGAAGTTGCCGGCGGCGCCGCCGGCGAGCAGCAGCACGGAGCACACAATCGCCGCCACCAACGGCGGCGTTCTCCCGGGATTGGAAGAAGAAACCATCGTGTGTGTGTGTAACACTGTTGGATTGGATTCGGTTTTTGATCGATCGATCAGATGGTTTTCGTGCAGTGGTGGTGAAAGATCGTTGTGCGAGCTGCGGTTTTTATAGGCCACTGGAGTGGAAGGGTAGCCTTTCGGTCGGATGGTTGGACCAGAGACGAGAAGAGGGTGTAATGTAACGTACATGAGCTGGATCCATTGAGCGGCTTGACGATGTGGACGTACACACGGGTCAGAATCGCACGGCTTGGTTTTAGCCAGTTTGCTTCTTTTTTGGGCCTTAGTTTTGCTCGGTTTAGTGTTGTGATATGATTGGTGTGCGTCACGCGCATGCAGGAAAAGGGGTTCCTGGCTCGGAACGGAATTCTGTGTAGTAGCGGTGGAGCCAAAAATTTTCTAAGCCTAGCGCTCGAGTAGGGCTCAATTAATAGGATATTGGTTTTCTAGAAAAATATGTAATGGTTTAAAAGGATTTAAGCATATTTATGGAGGTAAGCCGGGCTCAAGTCTAAGCTGCCTTAGTCTTGCCTCTGCCCTGCTATGCTGTTGTGCAGTAATATATATGTATTAGGTGCAAGCGTTTACAATCCCAACAAAAATCAGTCTAGTTTACGCGAAAATTGGATTTTCTGGACTACCACGATAGCACAAAGCACTCGTTTTTTCTTTAGTCAAGTTAAAAAAAATCAAACTAAAATTTGATTTTTTGACAAAAAAAAAACTTCTTCGATTTCCATTGGTTTTTATTGATTTACCAATATATTTTTTTATAACCTAAGATACCGCTCGGGACTATGAACCCTGTGTGCAATTGACATGTGGGCAGAGGTTGTATGTCCGGCTGGCTCACTGCACCGAAATACCGAATGATCGGCAACCTCTCGTCACCTATTCTGATCCCAAGCTGAGGAGTCGTGGAGTGACACTCAAATGCATGCATTGATCACTGATAAGTACGCACAGATTGCAGCTGTACTAACGAAACATGAATGAAGAGATATGATGCACGCAAAAACAAACGGGTGCGGATTTAAAAACGATGTGACCGAACCGAACTAATAAGAGCATGATGGTGATTAGGATTAGTTTGTTTAGATGTCCTATTCATTAGCTAGCTTGTTATGGAAATTTATGCTACTGCTTGCTTGTCAATTACACGCTGATTAAATGAACATATATGGATTAAGCTTTTTTTTTTTTAACAATCCTTAGAAAGGTACTACTCAGCAAGAGATTCTGATCTGCAGTTGTAGGAGCAATTCTTTTAACTGATAGCCTCATCGGATGGCTATATGCACAAAATACGCCAAATAGCGTATTAGCGAAAAACTATAATGTGTGATTAAAACATTTACATTTATTTTCTTTGCGACTTAAACGATTATGTTGTAAAAGAAATTATGATAAAAAAAACTCAAAAACTACTTTAAAATTAAATTAAAAATTTAAATTTTAGTATTAGCATATGCTGGTTGAGCCAAAAGATGAAAGCCTGACACAACCAACACACGCACAAAGGGAATCAGGTAAAGCCAAGTCGACACCTTAACGAACGATCTGTTGGCCGTTTTCCCTCGCATAGCTAGGTTTTGACCAGTTTTGATTCCCCGTGGATAAAAAGATCACCATAGGCGACTACGCATCATACACCGTCTGCAGCTTGACAAAAATGGGAGCACGGGAGATGCGCTCTGAATTTCTCATTTCTCAAATCAAAGCGACAGCTTAACCGACTCTGTCTAAACCCCTAGGATTGAAGTATTAGATCAGGCTGTCAATAATTATCGTAGCATCAATCGAACTCGGAAATACATGCATCGACGAACTGATCATTTATGCATACGTACTGCAAAATTAAATGGCACTCCGTGAACAAGGCGAATTCAGACTTTCAGAGAAATGTAACGCTGACCGTGCTAATATAAGCTTCAGAATCCCAAATGCATACCGCTCGTCCAATAATCAATCCAACAAGCATATACCCTATAATGCTCTCTTCTAGAGCTAGCCTAGACAAGTGCTCCATTCCATGACCATGTAGATGTAGCTAGCCTTATCTGCTCAACAACACCCATCCCATTCAATTGTCCACCGTCTTTAGCTCTTGTTAAACCTATCTTTTTCAGATAGATCAAAAGGGGAGCTACGCATGCAAGAATCATGTTGCGACAGTAATGGTCGCCATGGCCTTCGATTCCTATATCATAAAATCATTTCTATGGATCAAGTGGTGTCGCCAATTTCTAGGATGATAATGGGTCGGCTGGTAAAGTTGGGAATCATGCATATACATCAGACTATCAGAGTGTTCAGCTATCCGCACTGATGAGCTGTAGGCTGTTCTTTTTCTTCCAGCCTCCAACTGATATATTGTACTACGTATATTAATTTGTAGCTAGTCAGCCACAATGCATGAGCATTCAGTGGACTAACCACATTGGGTTCTCTATGATTAGTGCTAATGCATTGGTGATCACTTTGTGTTGCTTGCCTGGTGGTCCTCTGAGGGACACGTGTGTCACCTTTTCGTTTTTCTTTGAAACGTAGGTTTCCAAGTGATAGAACATTATAGACTAGCTTTGATAATGGTGGCAACAAAATTAATCGATCACTATCGCTCAAGAGCTCAGTTGGTGAGAGATTCGGTGCGCATTGGCACGAACCAACTAGGTTTAATTTGGCTCTATGGAACTCATATTAAAATGCACTTCATTTTCTTAACGAAAAGTAACATATCCCTCCATTTTCTCTGTAGAAAAGTCATAGTCACTGATGAAGACTGCATATATGTATTGTAGTGGATCAGCGCAACAGGGTAAATATATGCATGGTGCATATAATTTCAAACATTAATATTGGAAGAATGGACGTATATAGTATGAAAATCATCAAAGATTTGTTTCAGAGTACGTACTTATAATTCAAATATCATACTTCAATGGGTACAACAAAGAAACCACTGAAAAAATATTTTTCTAAAATATAAGTCACTACAAAAGTAAATGGTATTTCTTCCGCTTTCAAATATTTGTTCACGTTAACTATTACTATTCCAACTTTGGCCATTTAATAACTCTTAAAAGACTAGTCCATGATAAATGAAAGTTTCATGGTTATGTTTAATGTGTGTAATACATAGTATGTTATTTTCTTATATATCTATAATTTTTCCACATAAAAGGCAAATCAGAGTTTGCAAATGAACAATGTCTTACGCCAGTCTTTTTTTTGAAGGAGTGATGTCAGGTAATTAAAAAATGGAGAGAATAGTAACATACTTTTTTTTATAAGAACAAATAATTAACGTCAAAAGCGTCATACGTTTAAAACCGTAGTAGTAAACATCACTCTCAAGCTGTCGCCATTTTTTTTGTCATCTTTTACAGCCTTGGTGCTGGCACGCGCTTCCTATGAATTGAGATCCAATGCAGTTGTAATAACGACTGCAACTTTAGCAGTGATAGCATATTATGACCGTTGGATCGATGCAGCCAACAGCTTGGATTTGCTCTGCCACCCCCTGCACAGTATACGCTACAGTAGAAAATTGCTACAGTGATTCGTGAACAATATTTTCTAATGATCTGAGCCGCTGATTTTTGATCCATCAGCTACCTTGCAACTGCTAAAGTTGCAGTGATAGTAACAATTGTACTGGATCTCAATCCGCTTCCTATATATCTTCCCAGTTGAAACAAACACGACTTCTCATCAAGCTCTAGCAAAGATATCAACCTCCACTGCGGGCACTAAGCTTATGCAGCAGTGGAGTCATAAACCTACCCACACTTATTGAAGCCACAAACTGCAAACTTTACACTACTAGTATATACTAGTAGTAATATAAGTATACAAACAATGTATATATTTTTTTTTTCAGACACGTAGCTCCTTTACATATTCGCATAAAAAAAACGCCTTTCGAATTCGAGCAATCTAAGCGTGACTATTATATACTTCAACCACCGGTATATACATGTTTCAAGCCATACGAAAAGGAAGCTGAAAAAGGAGTAGCCGACGGCGTCTGGTCCAGTGTATGTCGGGGAAATCGACCTGCAATCTGCACTTCTGCAGAACAAATAAACGGCTACCACGACATGGAGTCATGGATGACCTGCCGGTCATGCTCGCTGCAATTCTAAAGCATATCTGATGCACGTAGAGTAGATAACTATAGCTATATAAAGATTGTATTTAGTAGCAATTAATCAGACCGTGCACCAACTGAGCTTGGCTAGCTAGCTTGCCAGCCGGACGTCGAGTTCGTCAGACTTGGAGCCACATCCAACGTCCATACATTATTCCATCCTCCTCCTCCTACTACTACCACAACACAAATCATTAAAATCTCTTACTCCTAGCTTCATTGTTTGGTTTATTTGTAGAATAAGGGAAACGGCCATATTTGCAAACGAAAAAAATAAATTTTAAGGGAATTTGTAAACGAAAACTAATTTATGAATAAAATTTTTATATACGTGTTCTTAGCGATTTAAAAGTTTATATTAAAAATAAACTTCGATAAAAAAAAACTCTAAAATCAGCTTTAAATTTAAAGTTAAAAATTTAAATTTTGACTTATAAGTATAAGTATAAGCGAAAAGATAAAACCCGAATACTGCTGCATGACAAATCGTCTAGGCCTGTCAAGAGAAGGACGTACACCTTGTAGCAATCTGGAGCCGAGTTGGAAGCAGCTGTCTGACTAGACTCTCTGCTCTTCTGCTGATCTCAAACAGCAGTAGCACATCTCATGCAGTAGCTCGTGGTCTCCATGAAGGGATATTTGCGGGGATTTCGGGTCCTCTGCTGGATGTTGATGCCTGAAAGGGAGGTGGAAGAAGAACCGTGAGGACTTCAATTTTCGGAAGGGTGATGAACTAGCTAGCTGATCGAAGATAAGGTCCAGTTTTTCGGAGGGTCGCATCCATTGATTATTGCTGGTGAAATGTCGTTGCGGCGGCTAAGTTAGAGGGGAGCACTGGGAGGACAGGCGAGCACGGTGCACTGTGGACACACAAAGCAGAACAATTCCTTCCTTTAATTTGAGATTTTGGACGTGAACAACTAAAGTAGTAGGAATAGTGTTCTCTCTGCGTAACAGTAAGAAATGTTTGGTGCATATTAAAAAACTTAAAATTGCACATCGCACTGGAAATCCCTCGTTTTGTTCATGGATGAATTCACCTGAGGTTTTCTTCACAGGAGCTAGACATCTCGAATATATATGTAAAAAAAAGTCTGTGAGTTATACAGATATTAATAGCAGGTCCAGTCCCCATGTACGCTTCAGCCCATTCCACAAATTATTGGGCTTAATACTTTGGCAGATAGGCCCATACCCACCAAGCATAAAGGCCCAGCACTAATACTTCGCCATTACGGCCCAAACATCCAATTTGCAGAGTTCTATAGCTCGTCGTCTCACAATAATAAAAGCCGGGGACGATCACGAGACGAATAGATCTTTAGAAAAAAAAATCAAACAAGAAGTCCATTTACATCGTCGTAGCCAACAAAGAAAGAAAAAAACAGATTCTGGAACGAGTTGAGACTTTCCACATTACCCTGCACAACTCAACCCAAACCTAAAAGATCAAGAAGAGACGATTATTCATTCAGTTCCCCTCACTGCAAAACACAAGTATGAGCCTACAGATCGCTGGACGACGGATGGAATCATCATGGAGTCGACGTCGCGTACGACGCCTCACGTTCTACCGATGGGGATGATGCACTCGGCGGGGAAACGGTGCGGGAATCGCTTCCTGTCGGCGCAGTAGTCGTAGGCCATGTAGTTCATCCGCACCCAGTTGAGCGTCATCCAGCTCCACCAGTCCATCCTCCGCCTCATCCACCCGCCGCCGCCGCCGGCGCACCGGGAGGCGCCGGCGCCGGCGGCGTCCCAGACGCAGGCGTTGGAGACGTTGTAGCGGCGGTACGTGGCGACGAACGGCGCGCGCGACCAGTCCGTCTTGACGCGGCCGCCCTGCGTCGCCCACTCCTCCGCGTTCCAGATGCTGGCGAACACGTGCACTGGCTGCCGCGTCGGGAATGGCACCCCGTACGCCTCGTTGTTCTTGAACACCCTGATCGGCGTCCCGTCAATGTACAGTCTGCACCACCAACATTTTTTTTTACAGATTTGTTACACACAGGTTTGTCTCTCTGAATTTGACGAGGAGACCGAGCCAAACGACATATTTACAAACGAAAAATAATTTATAAATAAAACTTTTATGTAAATGTTCTTAGCGATTTAAAAACAAGTTCTGAAAAATAAACTATGATTAAAAAAATCTAAAAATCAAATCCAAATTTAATGTTAAAAATTTAAATTTTGATTGATAAGTATAAATATAAGCACAGAAAAAAGAAAAGATACTCCTAAAAGATAAAATTTAAATTTTTCAGAGCTTACATGATGTTGTGTGGGTTCCAGAGGATGGAGTAGGTGTGGAAGTCGGCGGTGGGGTCGAACCAGAGCACGAACTGCTGCTCACGCTCGCCCTTGCCGTCGCTGAAGATGTTGGTGTGCAGCAGGTACGGCTCGCCGCTCACGTTGCCCAGGAACTCGAAGTCCACCTCGTCGTGCCGCGCGCCGCCGCTGCAGATCTGCGCCCGTTGGTTTGGTTGATTAATTTAATTAATTAGTTGCCAATGCGAGCAGAAAAAACCATCAGATATGTCGACGTGTGCACCATGACTAGCTATCCAGGTATTTCGATCAGCCAAGTATATGCCTTCAGGCGAATTAGTCTGAATCTTTTTGGATAAACTTAGAAATGTTAATCGTGGACACCATGACACCATGACTAAAACTGCCTACTACTGAAAATTGAAGATGTTCAGCCTGGTTACCGGCCGGTAGTAATACGTGTAATATGCAGAAATTGATTTATTTTACGGCTAAAAGTGATTATACAAATATTCTGTTCCAGGAAAGGTAGCAAATGTAATACCAACATTGCTTGGTGAAAGTGATGCAATTTTCACCGAAACAAAAATAAAAATGTTATCATTTTTCTATCTCTAGGGCATGAACCGACCAAGGGTGTACCTGATCTACATACTGCTACTTAAATGCAGAGGCCAATTGAATTCACTTACTGCCAACATTTATGCTGCTGCAAGTACAAAATTCACCCCAATCACCGCTCAACCATCCCATCTGCTAATCGAGGACCAAACTTGTTAATCTGGGATGACAATCTTCTTCTTATTATTTTCTGCCCCATAAAGTAAAGCTCATCCCAAGAATGACAAGTGTCAACTCGTGGAATTCCCCTGGTGTTCCTCTGTCGTCTACTACTAACAATCCGAGCTACTTTAACGGGATGAACAATTCTTAGGATTTCACACAAACTAGGGGGAAAAATCGAACAAATCAAGCCAAGATCGATCAGAAGACTGCCCCAACTTACATAGAAGGAAGTGATGGTCCCTGCAGACTCTCCCCTGACGAGCTTGATCTCGAGATCGAACCTCCCAAACAAGAACCGCTCCTTGGACTGCAGCCGCGCCCCCGTCTGCTCGTCCAGCGTCAGCTCCACCATCCGCCCGCCGTCCCGGAACCTCGCATTGCCCTTCCCCCACACGGCGTCAAAGTCCCGGTGGAAATTGTGGTCGCCATGCCCCGCCGCCGCCGCCGCCGTCACTGCCGCAGCTACGACGGCGACGAGAGCCGCCGGCCACCTCAACCGGAGAGAGGCGCCACCACGCATGTCCGCGCACAATGTAAACGCATGCACAAGGCACAGTGACAGAGCTCCACCGATCCGCGAAATGCGGCGTATCGAACTGACGAGCTGCAAGAGGAGATCAGATGGTAGAGACTAGAAATGAAACTGGAGGAAATGGACCAGTGTCCTGCGAAGAAGACAGAGAAAGAGAGGAGAGAGGTGAAGTGAAAGAGGATGTCCAATTTAAGGGCACGTAGGGGTGGCACTTTCGCCAGATGCCAGAACGAGGCGGCATGCACGTCGGTTGCTGCGGCAGGTAGCCCTGAGCCCCCCAGCCATGCGGCGTCCACTGAAATCGCATCGTACGAGACACAAACCACCCATGAAAAAACTCAAAAAGGAATCCGACGAGCAACAGGACGTGGCACAGAGTCGACGGCGCCAGGGGAGATCGAGCGGTGAAACGTAGTAGAGAGTAGTGTGGGCGTATGGGTCGCGTGTCGGGTTGGCAATACGACGTGTGAGCAGGATAAATTAGCTCGACCACGGTGTTGCTGCAATAAAAACCGGCGGGACGGGACGGCAAACGGCATGCATGGCATGAGTGCGCGGCACGAACGGAGCGGAGGCTGGTCTGGTGGTCTGCTTTGATTTCATCTCGGCTGGCCGCGGCCGGTGCGGGCGGTGGACGACACCGTGGACTGGTCTCGAGCGCGGCCGCTGGGTGGTGGTTGGTTTCCAAACTTTAAATGCGAGCGATCATCCCGTCGGGTCGTGCGGTACACGCGAGCATGCCTCTCCGCTGCATAGGCGTAGGACGCTTACCTTCGTGTAGCGAAGTTAGTACAATGCAATGGCTTCACATGCGCTGCGAACAGGGGCGCGGGCAGTGTGATATTCCAATTCTCGTCTCTTGTTGTGACTTGGTCGCCGGTGAAGCTCTGGTAGCGTTTTTACTGTGGCAAGTTATGGTTGATGCTGTCTGTTGCATGTGACCCTGTAGGTTGAGGAAATTAGGACCTGTACTGCGGTGGGATTCGGTGGATAATCTGGTGATGGCGTGATGCTAATGGAACAAGCGACATGATTACACGACCCGCTCGATGCAAATTAACAGTCTTCTCTCTTTCTTTAGTCAGGGCACAAGAAATCAGATCGTGTCCCATTTTTTTCTCTTGGAATCGAATTGGGAAACAGATATCTGTTTGTGTCTTGAACTCTTGATGATACTACTACTGAGTATCTATCTAGTGAGGCATGGGATGGATGACGTCACCGTGAAGGGTGGGCGTGTTACGGCCCACGGGACTTGTGTATTGCCTGTTGGGCCTCACTGGGGCCTGGTAGGTATTTCTCCTACAAGGTAAAAAAAAAATCATAACTATCGATCAAGTCGAAATTAGGCAGGTGAAGTGGGCCGTATTCCAAAATTTTCAATGTGGTTACTGGTGAGCCGGATAAAGGCTGATGAAGTTACAAATGAGCTGGGTTGGCAAGCTGAAGGAAAAAGTATGCCGAAGGTCCTTAAACTTGTCATCGAGTTACAAAATCGTCCCCCAAACATAAAACCGGATACAATACATCCCCAACATTCAAATCCAATGAAAACTAAGTCTCTCGGCAGTTTTGACTTCGGTTTTGTTCGACATGACCGCTAACTTAGCGTGGGACCCACGTGGGCCGACACGTCAGGGTGACCACGTCATTATCATCTCTTTCCTCTCTCCCCCCTCTCTCTCTCTCTCCCCCAGTTGTCGGCGACGAGAGGTGCCCATTTCCTCCACCAGCTAGCGCATCGCCGACCGCCACGTAGGACAAAACCGGGGGCAAAATCACCGGAGGACCTATAGTAAACGGTTTTTGTAAGTTGATAGATGTTATATATCTAATTTTGTGGTTGGGGGATGATTTTGTAACTCGATGACAAGTTGAGAGACCTTCGGTTTACCTTTTCCGCAAGCTGAATACAAGTTCTCATTTCCCGGGCTTCATTCGGCCTGACAATTGGACCTTAGCCCTTAAGTTGGGCTTATTTACGACCAACTAAGTTAAAATCGAAGGAAAATGATACATGTACAGAAATGTGTTTAGAAACATTTTACAAAAACTGATGTGGCATTTGTTATATATTGTATCTTGTTTTTTCGTAACTATCCACTGATTAAATCCAAGTTTGTAAGAGTTTAGTAAAGTTCTTTTTAAGTACGTATAGCATTACTCAGAATCGAATCACAACCTGTGATTAAAAAAATAATTTCTAATTCCAAATTGGTTCTAATGCATCATGTGGTGACAGTTTGACAGAAGATGATCAGAACTACGCTGCAAACAGTGGCACGAGAAGCAGTTTGTGCAAACAAGCGATTGGGTGCGAATCAAAAATTTTAAGCAAAACATGGCTGGTTGATCAAACCGAGTGCGAGCATTAGTTTTGTTTAATCCAAGCAGATCTTATCGTTTCCAATATAAAATGGTTCGACGTTTTCGTTAGCAGTGTTGCTGCAGCTGCAGATGCGAATGTTGGTCCCTCGGTTAAATTAATCAAAACCGGATAAGCTCGATCTCCCCCCACGCAAGGCTCCAGTTTTACAGGGTGTCCATTGTCGAAGGTGGCCAGTCTGGCTGGCACGCCCAGTACTAGTACAGGTTTATTTCAGCGGCTGAGCACACGGAAAACATGGCCAAAACCCACAAAGGGATCCATCTTCTGGCTAAAAGCAGCTCACTAAAATTTATCAAACTTGGTACGTACATCGACCCCGTGTTACAAAAAGATATCAAAGAATGCGATATGCATACTACATTTACATCTCCGTGGCAACAAAACACATTCATTATTCGCCATCTGACGTGCTCTTCTCATCATTTTTTTCATCGATGACGGATCATGCATGCGTAGCGTACGTTATGATCATCTTCTCGTGTCGATCTCAACGGAGCTTGCACTCGGCGGGGGTGCCCTGGGGGAACCGCTTGGCGTCAGTGCAGTAGTTGTAGATCATGAACTTCCTCTGCACCCACCTCATGCGGCGGTAGCTCATGTCGCTGAGCTCCTGGTTCCACCACCCGCCGGCGCCGCCCCTCCTGCCGCCGGCCGGCGCTGCGACGGTCTCCATTGTGCCGACGGGGCAGCGCTGCGCGCCGTTCGACCAGACGCAGGCGTCGGCGTTGAAGTCGCGGAAGGAGGCGACGAAGGGGGCCTTGCTCCAGTCCGCCTTGACGCGGCCGCCCTGCGTCGCCCAGTCGTCCGCGTTCCACAGGCTCGCGTACACCCGCATCGGCTGGCTCTTGGGGAACGCCACGCCACGGGCCTCGTGGTTCTTGAAGTCCCTGATCGGTGTCCCGTCCACCGCGAATCTGCACGCACCACCAACACGTTGTTTTAGCCAAAACCCATCGAGTATCAACCATGCGTCTCTGTCTCGCGTAACAACAAGAGGGGTTCACGTGCCAATGTGGAAGTAAAGTAGGGGACTCACATGACGTGCTGTGGGTTCCAGATGATGGAGTAGGTGTGGAAGGACTGGGTGGGGTCGAACCAGAGGCGGAACTGCTGCTCGCGCTGCCCCTGCCCCTGCGTGAACACGTTGGTGTGCAGCGTGTACGGCTCGCCGGTCACGTTCCCCAGGAACTCGAAGTCGATCTCATCGTGGGTCGAACCCTGCGACGACAACTGCAGCCACAAGCACAGAAGATCACACAAACCATCAGCTTCATTACTCCACTTTAGTTCCGTTTTTTTGCCGAATTTGGTAGATGAATAAATGATGAAGTGATGAGACCGTTTGGGGAGGAAGATAAGCTTACGTAGAAGGTGGTGACGGTGCCGGCGGAGTTGCCGGGGACGAGCTTGATCTGCATGTCGATCTTGCCGAAGAGGTACTCGCTCTTGGACTGGAACCCAGAGCCGGAGCTCCTGTCAAGCGTGAGGTCGAGCCCACGGCCACCATCGACGATCTTGCCGCGGCCCTGCCCCCACGACACCTCCGCGTCCTGGAAGAAGTTGCCTCCATGCGCAATGGCCACCAGGCAGGCCATCGCCACAATGCCAAGCGCCACCGTCCTCATCGCGCGATCACAACACACAAGAACCCAAAGATCTAGCAAGCGAGTCGAAGCGTGAGGACAATGAGAGCTACTGGGATCAGTGTGGATTGGTCACTGGAATGGGATGGCGAAGCACTTGCCTATGAGCCGGTATTTATACTTGGGCGTGGCCGGGGCAGCTAGCAATAGCAGAGCTGCGGGCAGACAGGTGGTATCCGACGGGCAAATGCCGGCTGGGGTGGCGCGTCGCGTACACGGTTAAAGAAGTAAATGCGGCACGGAGCGCGTCGCTGCAGAGCGCCGGATAGATTTGGGGCGGGGGCGATGCATGGCTGGACGCACGCTGGATCCAGCCGCCGCGTGCCTACGCCGGGGTGTGGGGGCCAGAGACGCGGGGGACTTTACTTGACCACACCACACCCATCCCCGCGGCGGCATCCGCGAAAGCGGTAACCCGTAAACCGGGCAGGTGATGCCTGCCGATGGACGGATGGATGCGAGTACGTGGTAAAGTGTGCAGCTTTTGTGGCGCTTTTGCTCGGCTTTGCTCGCGGATCGTACGTCACACGGGGCCGCGGCCAGCCTCGGCTTTACAGTTCATGGCCTGCAGTGCAGTTCGGTTCGCGCGGAAGCAGCAGATCGTGATCCGGACGGACGAGCCAACACGACGGCATTGCCGCCATGTGCGCGAAGGCCTGCGATTCGGGGAAGGTTCGCCTGGTTTGCCCCATGGGCGAAGGAAGTGGCCCGGCCATTCCATCCAGGGCATCGACGGTCGATGCACATCGTTCGTACGTACTGTACGATGAGCGAGTGATTTAATTGCGGTCACAAATCGGTCTCGAGGACGACTGTTGCTGCTGGTGAGAGTGTAATTGCGCCCTTGATGTGTCTGTTGGGAGTTTGTGTTTTGTGACAGCGGATTACACGCTGTGATTTACTGGAGTAGTGGTAAGTTTTCAATACCTGAAAGGTTACGTTTTGATTGATCGAGTTCGGGATTAGTAAGGACGACGTCCGTAGATGAATCGTAGCTGGGCTCTTTAGTACTCCGACATGATGCCGTTAGGTACGGGCATGTTGATTACGACACCTCTGGCCAAATGATGAACAGAGTCGCCATTGGACTTGTCTAGGAGGGAGACAATTGATTCTCTGGCCAAATTCTTGCGTCACTCAACCCTAAAGATGGATAACTATTTTTTTTAACACCTAAAATGATTACACGTCAATATATTAGCTAAAGCTGGATATAGACCTAACCCGCTATATGTAACTTGCACTGTGGAGCATGCAGCTTATACTGTTCTTGATCTACGTGGCATGTGAAGAACGATAAAACTTGGTGGCGCGCTGTGAGTGGCCCTAGATTGATGTGAAGTGGCTAAGGCTCGCGAGCTAGACTAGTGGGCTACAACTTTCTTGCCTCATGATTGCTTGTTATGTCTAACGTCTAGTCGACTCAATCCTAATGGAGGTAAAACATTGTAACCCTTAGGAAACAGCATCATGATCTAAGTAGTTAAGGCCTAAGAGTATCCCCAGCAGCTTATCCAAATTTGATTCTCGGTACACTCATATGGATGGCCATCAAAAAAAGATTCCTTCTTCATATCCTTCTCACTCCAATAGATCATTTATATTTCATACTCCATACCACATCCTCCTATCTTTTACTAATATCTTTCAACTAAGCATATATTTGTATTATTTTCTAAGGGCTATATTTTGAACAACTAAATTTTAATAGTTTTATTTTATCACGGTAATCTAAATGGTTAGATTTTAACGGACATATTTCTAATAGATAATTTAGTGCATTAAATTGCTACTTTCTCTAAAATTACTCAGACTATGTTTCTCTTTTTTCTCTACCCATAGTCTGCCTTTTGCCCATTCCAATATATTCCAACCTTTTCTATTCCTCCTTTTCTCTCTGCTCTGTTCTACACTCTTCATTCTACCCAGGAAGCATGCGTGGAGGCAAGGTGGCCTGCGAGCGCAGAGGTACGGCGGCCTGTCGGTGTAGAGGCACGGCGGCCTACGGACGTGGAGGCCGGTGGGCGCGGAGGCAACTGGAGCTAGCAGGATCGATGGTGGCGGCCGACGGGCGTGGAAGGGCGGACGAAGATAGCAGCAAGGGGCGGAGGCAGTCGGCGGGGCGCGCGCAGGGCCGACGGCCACAACCGGCCGGCATGAAGGGTTGGAGGGATGCATGCTGCCGCTGGCGGGGTTCTCCTTCTAGATCTGGTATGTCTCTCTCTCACCCTCCCTCCATGGCTACACACTCCCTCTACACCATCCACCGTACAGAAAAATACACATCCGACCGGCGACGATGACAACATAGGGGAGGTCGATCCAAAACTCCTGATAGGGGTGGGAGCTGCGGCCACTGTGATATAGCGTGAGGAGAGAGAAACGCTATATTTGGGCTTCCTCTCTCCGTTTTGGCGCATCATCTATTTTTGAAGGGCTAGATGGCGTATCCACTGGGGCCCCGTTTTTCACTCCCGTGCACTGTATCTCGGACAGGGTATCCGATAGAGGATCTCCTGATGCTCTAAGGCTATTCCCAACCCAATAATTAGAATGATGTCCATAGCATTAAATAAGGTGCCACCTAGGATGAAAAATGATGTGGCAAGTGAATAAATGAGGAAAGAGAAGGAAATCATGTCTACACAATATCCAAGACATCATGTGTGATAAGGAGCATTAAATTTAAGTATGGAATAGTAATGCTTGTATTAAAAGAGTAGTGTCTAGTACTAATTTCTTGATGATGTGGAGTTTATAGAAACTATCTAGTGTTTTGGGTTGGGAATGGTCTAATGGGGTGTAAGAGTCGAAGACCCCCGTTGTCCGTACGACCATCCGAAAATGCAAGACTCCCAAGTCAAGTCCTTTACCACGCATAGCATGCAAGACTTGTCTGTCACACGACGTGCCACGATGGAACCCACATGGCATATACTGCTTCTTTTGCTGGAGATCTCGTACTATACAATACACCTGGTTCCAGAAACTTCACAAGAAATCTAGCTGGCCATGGCATAAGCAAACATTCAGCAACTGCATCCAATAAAATCCAAATAAATACTTCCACAGTGGCAGCACTGAAGAACACCTCGGCATCCACTACTCAGAGACAAGCAAGCAAGCATAAGCATTATTCTATGTACTGCCATAGTGCCACCACACCACAACATTCAAATTCGCCCATGCCTCTCCAGTAGAAATACGGAGAAGCAGAAATGATCATCATGCCACATATCCTCGCAAACAACAGCTGTCCGCTTTGTCCATTTCAGCAGCATGCATACTGGTGCCAGCCAACGAGCCAGCAGCAGACCGACGCAAACGGGTACTGTACGTGCTGTGGCGAGGAAGCAGGGTGGGCCCTCGACGCAAACGGCATGGGCCGTGCATGGTTTATGGTTTATCATGCCCTCATTGAACGATTCAAATCATTGCTGTTCCAAGGGGCACGTACGACGCAGACGCGCACAATAATTCCCGTGTCCCCGACCGACGCGCCCATGCACGCATCGGGGACTCGGGGTCGACGACTCCGGCGGTGCGCATTTGTGGCTTCTACTGCAATATTGCCGATCCATCGATCGGTAGTCGGTAGAGCAGCTCTGCCATAAACTTGGACTTAATTGGTTACTTAGCCAAAAGCCCAAAGGAGAATTTGCAGCTAGCTAGGTAGATCTGATACAGTGAACACAACGCATTGCAACTGAGGGGTGTTTAAATCTAGGATTATAAAGTTTTGGCGTGTCACATCGGGTATTATATAGGGTATCGTATGGGGTGTTCGAGTACTAATAAAAAAAACTAATTACAGTATCCGTTAATAAACCGCGAGACGAATTTATTAAGCCTAGTTAATCCGTCATTAGCACATGTTTACTGTACCACCATATTGTTAAATCATGGACCAATTAGGCTTACAAGATTCGTCTCGCAAATTAGTCGCAATCTGTGCAATTAGTTATTTTTTAGCCTATATTTAATACTTTATATAGATGTTGAAACGTTCGATGGGATAGGATTAGAGGTTAACATCTATTGTTATTGGTAAAAAAAGAACCATAGATTAAATTGTTGGAGTACTAAGAAGAGGTTAACATATATTATTATTGGTAAAAAAAGAACCACAGATTAAATTGTTGGAGTACTAAGAAGAGGTTAACATATTATTATTGGTAAAAAAGAAAGGGTTAATTGGATCCATGCCACTGTAAATATGACAAATCAGAAAAATATCATTACTATTCATGAAATCGGGTAGATGCTACTCCAATCTTCTAAAATTAAAACCATACCACTCCATCACGATTTCCGTCCTCTCCGTCACATTTTTCGCCGTCTCCGTCTTATCTTCGTCTCGGTGCCTGAGGAGGAGGGCATGGCGGCACGCCGCCCTCACCGGCGCCGAGCTCCATGAGGGAGATGATAGCCGGGCTTCCTCTCTTCGTTGAGGTGGTTGCGCTGAGAGCAGACAATTAGGGCGATGGCGCAAAGCGGCTGAAACGCGCGGTGGCAGCGGAGAGAGAAGGAAATCGTTGGGAGAAGCGGCCAGGGCATGGCGAGCTCGGGCTAAAGTTGGGAAAGGAAGAGGAGACCCATGAATTTCGTTTTTGCAATCAATTTAAGAAGAAGAGCAACTGGGAGGTCGTATTCGAACGGGAGGCGGAGGCACTGCGTACAGGCACGGCCGCACGGGACTTCGTATAGAGGTTGAAGACGATGTGCTATAGCGGAGGCGCAGCGCACGGGCACGGCCGCGCCGGTGAAGCCCTTCCCCATCCGCCGTCGTTCCCCATCCGCCGCCGTGCTCTCCTCCTCCGGCGCCGGTTTGTCCGTCGAGACGAAGACGAAGACGACAAGAAGATAACACGGAGACGGCTGAATGTGACGAAGAGGACGGAAATTGTGATGGAGTGGCATGGTTCTAATTTTAGAAAATTAGAGTGGCATCTACCCGATTTCATGAATAATAATGTCATTTTTCTGATTTACCATATTTATAGTGGCATGGATCCAATTAACTAAAAAGAAAATGGTGTGATAACCTGTGTTTGAAAGAATTCGAGCTCAGACCAATGCATAGCTCTGGCAGATCCCAGCTAGTCAAGCACTCGAGCTAGCAGCCGTTCTCAACGGAACCACAGATTAGCAATTTAGCATTGCCAGGCTGCCAGCGACACCACTTGGCTGTGTTCAGATATGGGAAGTTGGGAACTAAACTCTCCGTACGGAAAACGGAGCGGTCCATTAGCGCGTGATTAATTAAATTTTTGCTATTTTTTTTAAAAAATAAATCGATATAATTTTTTTAAACAACTTTCGTATAGAAACTTTTTACTAAAAACGCACCATTTATTAGTTTGAAAAACGTGCACGCGAAAAACGAGGGAGAAGGGTTGAGAACATGGGATTGCAAACAAAACTGTTCGCTTCACATTTCTACTAGTTTTCTAACTACACTGCTAACTGCTTCACTGTACCCATTTTGCCATTGAGTCAGAGTACTCGCCTGTACTGTACGATGTAGTTACATACCAATACGGAGTACTGCGATTTTCAGACCAACCGTGCATGGGATACTCTTGCGTTTTCGGCTTCACATCAGTTACAGTACACGCGACGGTCGGGCCCTACGTTGTAAAGCCACCTGATCAATGCCAATTGAAACGTTTTAACGCTCCCCAAGCACGGGAGTTCGGTGACTATTTAAGGTTTTGTTAGCTTGTCGAATTGAATGCATGGATGCGTACATACATTTACATACCCACTTGTTTCACTTTCACCTTTCCTCCGCACGAGCGACCTAACAATTTTAACTGATTTATACCAGCACAAGCTAAGGTAGCGGGAGACTAGTGCAACCACGCTACAGACCTACTCCCTCCGTCTAACCAAAAAAAAAAAAAGACAATCCCTGGGTTTCCACGTCCAACGTTTGACTGTCCGTCTTATATGATTTTTTTTATAATTAGTATTTTTATTATTGTTAGATGATAAAACATGATCAATACTTTATGCGTGACTTATCTTTTTAATTATTTTTATAATTTTTTTAAATAAGACGGACGGTCAAACGTTGGACACGGAAACCTAGGGTTTGTCTTTTTTTTTTTTGGATGGAGAGAGTATAGTACAGGTCAAGGAAACGATGCACTTTTAACTTACTGTAATAAAAAAGAAAAGAAAACTACTAAAACTCCAGCTGCAGCCTGCAGAAACATGCCGTGCCCAGAGAGGTGTTCTCTCCGTCTCAGACAACAAGCAAGCAACTAATCAAAGCCGCCGGATCTTCCGATTCTATTTCAACTTGAAAGAGCAAAAACAATCAAGTTCTCCGGGGGATTGCATTCGGTGTTTGGGCTCTAACCCTTTGGTCTGTGAAATTGTGAGTCCATGGGCTATGGCAATCTTACTCTTGGACTTGAACAAGACAGACAGCTATGGGCTTTGCGGTAAGGAAATAAAAGCCCAACCCAATAGTCTAACACGGATACGATCTTTTGGTTTGGAATAAGTTCATCAGAGGTCCCTTAATTTTACGCCGAATCCGATTTTCGTCCTCAAACCCAAAAACTACATACAACTGGTCCCTGAACTATTAAAACCGGTGTAAATGAGGTCCCTCGACGTTTTTGAAGGTTGTTTTAGCTGACGTGGCGCCTACATAGCTGGTTTGACTAGGTCTACGTCCTACGTGGCATTGACGTAGCGCTTACGTGACAATTATATCATGAAAAAATAATAAAAACCATAGCCCCACATGTCAGCTGCACACAAAAAAAATTAAAAATAGTGGGGCCCACGTGGCCCCACATGTCAGCCTCACTCCTCCCTTCTCTCTTCTTCATCCTCACTCTCTCTTCTTCCCTCTTCCCCCTATCTCTCTCTTTCTCTTCTTCCCGAGCAGCGGATGAGCGGGTGGGCAGCAGAGCAGGCGAGCGCGGCGAGCAGTCCAAGCTCCGGCGGCGGCGGCTCGACGTGCGCCGCGTCGGGGCTAAGGGAGTCGGCGACGGGGGAAGGAGGCAAGCCTCGACCGGAGAGAGGAGGCCTGCGGTGGGGTGGTGGGCGCCTGTTGACAGAAAACACGAGGCCTGGGAGATCTGCTTAACTCCAGTGCAGGTCCAAAGCTCGCCTTCGGATGTATGAGCGTGCCAGTTGATTTGATCCTGCAATCAACAAGAGATAGAACAAAGAAACCGCAATTAATCCTATAAATGATAGCCGATCGGCTAGATGCCGATGACATATCATTTATTTCAAGCCGATGTCATGCGTACATCGATCGGCAAATATCAATAAGCAATTCAGAACTAAATCTACTCGATCAACTGTAGACATTAATGATATATAATCCTTATATCGGTATATACTTAAATCAAGTGATTGGGATATATCGGTCATCTTGCCGAGACAGTATAAATCACTTAGATCGAAATATATATTAATAGTAGGATTATATACATTAATAACATAGCTGATCAGGTAGACCTAGCATGTATCGGCTAATACTCCGATACCACTCTATACTAAGATATTAAAGCAAGTAGAATATACCAAACATAACCTTAATATACTTAGATGCAATAAAATCTTAACATAAAGGGCAGATTTAACGTGTCAATCAAGCATATAGAATAAAAGTAGTTAAATCAGGTAAGATCGGCTGAAACTCCGATACTACCCTTATCGGCAACCAGAAAGCAGGCTAAAGATTGCAATTCTAAGCACGACTTAATAGATCAAACTCAACTGATGCAGCATTAAGTATGAAAAGAAGAACAATATCTAGACAATCAAGCCGCTGGAAGTTTCATAGAGTGGTAGATATATCACATAATCTAAGTTAACGTCATTGTCTAACCTAATCGGCTGCCTTCCATTAGCAGATGTTAGCCGATTATAGGTTAGATAAAGATATTATCGAAGACTATGTGAGATATATGATAACTCGACGAATTATATATACAAGATTAGAGTGTCATAAAGATGGAAGCACTAATCCTGAGAACATAAGTCGTCACGACAAGTTTTACCTCTTGTTGAAGATCGAAACCGATGCAGCTCAACCCGAGAGCACAAACTCGTTGAAATAAAAGTAAAGCAAAAAAGGGTGGCGATGCGCCGAGATTGTATTGGATGTGTTGTCTCGTTTTTACATAGGGCTCGGGTCTATTTATACCCGAGAATTACAAGATACGTCCATAACGGACACGACTATTATCTCTAACAAACTCTAAGATACCATAAGTCTTTACGGCAGACTTTTGTCCAAACATATCTCTAAGGAAATTACATAGAATATCCTAATTAATAAATATAATTGCCTTCCCAGGACTCTATCCAAGCATGGCAATCACCTTGAAGCACATCAACTTGAACCCGATGACGTTCACCGGGTCATATTATCGGAATCAGCTGTATCGGCTAGCCCCGTGCAACTCGAACTCTGCCGATCCTGACCTTAGCCGATTTAGACTGTAGCCGATTTTTACTCTGTCTCCGCAACGATCTTCATCTTGGATTCCACTTCGATCTGATCTTCATCTCCGATGCCAATAGTGATAGAATTTACCAAATTTGGTCGTTAACACATGCCCCCCATGTCCGAAATATTGGATAATGTTTCAGATTTGCCATATACCGACTCTGAGAGAAACTCGCACTTGCCGTTTTCCCGACCATTATCGCTCTGCTTTAAATACTAACCGTCGCCCCAGAGAATCTCCACGCCGTGATCTCCGTTTTCACCACTCAAGCAGATCCCGTCTTCTCTCTCTCCGGCGACCTCCTCGACGCGCAGGGCGATTTCCAAACGATTCCACTCCCGGCCAGATCTCCACCCGCGACGATGACGACCTCCACCAGTCCGACCGCCACATCATCTGCCGAATATGCTGAGGTAAGTCCTCATCGGCTAGATCCCTTTTCCGTTCATCAGATCGGTTTTCGCTCGCCTTATCCCGTTTTCTCCTTCTCTATTCTTGTAGCATCTTTCCAATCTTGTTGCAGTTCCCAGTCTGTTGCATGACCAACAATACTTTCTCGGTCCAATCGGCAATCTAGACCCTACTGAATTTATCATAGCCGAAACCAATAGAACTCCTTTTAGGTCGGCCAATCCAAACACAAGCCATTGGAAAAACACCTTCAAATCCTGGCCTTCTCTGGAGAAAAGCTGGCCTGTATGGTATAAGCGGATATCGGCTAGCAAGCAGGCCCATTGGGATGAGATCGGAATCAGCCAAGCCCTAGCCCTCACAGTAGCAAATTCGGCCAAAGATGAACCCCTGTTGGCGGCTGCAACTTATTTCTGGTCCGACACTCTCAATGCCTTTCTTTTCAATCAAGGGCCGATGACCCCAACGCTGCTGGATATTATCATGCTCACTGGCCTAGATGTAACCTCATCGGCTAACCCCATGAGCCTAAACACCAAGAACACTTTTGAGTTCAAAACTAAGAGCATTGGGGGTTGGTCAGGATATATCACAGCATATATGGGCAAAGGGCCAGTCACTCCTAAAGAACACGTAGCTTTTTTGCTGATGTGGTTGGAAAAATTCCTTTTCTGCGGATCAAGCTGCGGTCCTACAACCAACTGGCGGTTCTTAGCCGAGGCCCTAGTAACGAAGAAACAATTTCCCTTAGGCAAAATCCTTCTCGGCTATCTATACCAGATGTTAAACAGCGCATCGGCCAAAATAATTATCGGCTCAGTGGTTGGAACAGGTGGATCATGGTGGCTCTTTCAATCCTGGCTGAACCTGGTAGTCATGAAGGTTTTCAATCGGCCATCTGTGACAGAAGCTGAATTTCCAAGGTTGGAGCCGATTGTAGAAGATGATGGAGAAGAACGCACCCATCGCAGATGTATGTCATACGGAGAGTATGCATCTACACCAGCTGATGCAGGAGCAAAATTATCGGCTGAACTTCTGAAGGACTGGTTCTTCAGCTTTTATGACGGATTCCAAAAAAATGCCCGAGTTTGGTTCTTCTATGCCGACTCAATGGATTTCGAACTGCCAGCCGATTTCAGGTTCGAGGATATTAATCATGAAAAGTTTCAGCAATCCAGAGAAATCTTTACTACTGCTATCAGCCCATGTATCCTCCCAGTCGGCATCCATCAAGGGAGAAATATCCAAGTCTACTACGAGTTTTATCATCCGATGTCATTAGCCAGACAACTTGGAATGGGACAATTGCCAATCGGCCTGTACTTTGCTGACAAGATCCAATGCAGAAGCGACATCTCCTCAACTTTAATGATGGATCGGCTGTTGAACATCCCCGGACCTCCGTTGGGCAGCATCGAGAACATAAAGCTGGCAAGGTTCAGGAGTAGGGCTTTTGACAGATGGTGGGGTGAATGGAAACTGCACGTGTTCCACCAATCGACCTCCATGTATATGACGGACCTATTCCCTGATACCATTCCTCAGGTAAGTCTTCACTTTATCACTCTTACTTAAATAACCAACAGCCGATTTAAACCTTAATTAACCTTTTCTTCTGATCTGCAGACAACAGAATCTTCTCCACCTCGCCGGAGTAATAGTGGTAAAGACATTGAATATGCCCCAAGCTTGATTCCCAATGGAGGTGGGCCATCTCCTTCTGCCATCGGCTACAATGCCCGAAAGACCTCAGCACTTCTCCGAGGACTCATCAGAGAACCAGCCGATGCCGGCGAGAAGCGGAGAACCAGATCATCGGCTGCAGATCCTTCAGCCCCGGCTCCGAAGAAGAAGGCTAAGACAAAGAAAGCTAAGCCAGCTGACGATCTACCCACCCTAGATCCATCCATCGAACAAGCTCTGGATGAAGAAGAAATTGAGGAAGACATCGACCAAGCTGCAGCCGAAATAAGCGATACTGAAAAAACACCAT